CGCATTTGTTATCTTGGACTTCAAAATGATGTGATGCAACCCGAATATTAGACTAACAACTAGTCTCTGAAATGAACATATTTTACTGAAAAAAGTTCATACTAAAAAAAATATAATATAATGAAAAGGAGCCCTGAGACTTTCTTCATTTTCATTTTTCTGAAGCTGAGGAAATCTAGACTTGCCACATTTTCTAGACTTGCGTGGGCTTTCTTGGATATATTTGCTTCAGGGTCTGTACGACAGACTACCCGAATATATACTGTTGTTCATAAATTAAATGAAAAATAATAATAAAAATAATTGACCTTGAAGACGATTATACAGAATGGTTTTCAACTGTATATGAAAAAGTAAGATAGTAATTTGCCTAGCTGACTGACTGACTGAGTTTGGTTTTACGACGCTTTTAGCAATATTCCAGCAATACACGGCGGGGAACACCAGAAATGGGCTTAACACATTGTGCCCATGTGGGGAATCGAACCCGGGTCTTCGGCGTGACGAGCCAACGCTTTAACGACTAGGCTACCTCACCGCCCCTAATTTGCCTGGTAATTTCTCAGCGTGCCGTATGTCATTGTTTGCTTCTTAAATGAGTCAGGTTGGTTGAATGGGGACCATTTCATTCAGCACGCCCCTATTATTCAACTGGTGGTTCCCTTCATAATCAACTGTCAAACTGTATAATACATAATTATCCTTCAAAGGTTCCACCAATGGGGCGGTGAGGTAGCCTAGTGGTTAAAGCGTTCGCTCGTCACGCCGAAAACCCGGGTTCGATTCCCCACTTGGGTACAATGTGTGAAGCCCATTTCTAGTGTCCCCGCCGTAATTTTGCTGAAATATTGCTATAAGCGGCGTAAAACTAAAGTCTCTCGCTCACACTTCGCTGAACAAGACTAATGGTCGACATAGCGGATAGAGCGAGAGACCGAAATGTTCGTAGTTCGAATGCTAAAAGGCGTTACAAGATTATCCAGAGGTGGTTACCATCCCTGACGTTCGGCATTAAGGGGTCTAAAGAAGGACTGGTCGACAGGGAGTCAGTGTATTGTATCTGAGTGGGTATCCAAGTTACGTAGACTAACATTTAGTCTCTGAAATGAACATGTTTTGCAGTAGAAATCTATAGTTAGGGAGATATCAAAATACTATGAAATTACAAAATATATTGCTTACTCTACATGCAGTAACAGCGAGTTCTTTACCTTCTAGTCATTCTTCCACAATCTCTTTACTGAATATATTAGGTCATAAAACATATTGTAAAGTGTATTTACAAAATCACTATTACCACTATCACTATGGCCCCCCTGGCCAGATGGTAAAACAAATGTTTTGCAGAAGAAAAAAAAGTTCCCAAATTATATTCATAAAATTTGGTTTGAAAAAGGGCCCAAGAGACTTGAGGTGAAACTGTAGAAATCTAGATTTGCCACATATTGTAGACTTGCCACATATTCTAGATTTGCCACATATTCTAGATTTGCCACATATTCTAGACTTGCATGGGCTGTATTGGGTATATTTGTTTCACGGTCTCTTTAAGAAACTACCAAGTTAAGCTGCGGAATGGTATCGGTGGTTGCAAGCACTACAATACCGTAAGTAGTTAACGCACATGACACACAATCACGCACATTCGCACATACACTACGTGGACCTATCTTACATCAGACGTTAGATCCCAGCCCAAATCAACTCACCTATATTTTATTCGAATATTAAATGAATACGTCGACATATAAACCTGAATGGATTTCGTATTCATAATCAGCCAAGAGAAATACACGTGAAGATCTGGGTTAGAAATGGTCTTGTCGTTCTGGTCTTGATCGCAGAGAAATAATAATGAGCTTGTAATCCATATCGCATTATGGCGGAAGTTCTCAAAACAAATGTAAAGTGATTTGAACCTTCCAACACAAAATGCAGCAACATCATTGACGCAGGGAATTGCCTTGTAAGAGTTATCTCCCTTCAGCAATCGGCCTGTCTTTATCAACACAAGAAATGCTCGTTTCCTGCTCTCTCAGCAAGGAATAAAAGTTACAATTATGTTTTCTCACAATTATAAAAGTTAAATCTGAAAAATGTCATTAATATTCGTTTAATACTGTGATAACATTAGAAAGGTTCGTTGCAAAGACAAAATAAATTCCATCGCTTAAATCGTTTTTTAAACAATGAAACACGATGCGCATAACGTTACGAAGTGGTCCTAAACTCCATGTGTGTGTTATCAGTTGCATCTCTACGCCTGTCACATTCTCCACAGATTGGGGAATCAGGATGTCCACGGTCTGATGGTAAAGGCCAGTGTAGGTCTAGACAATGTGTTAATGTAATCAGGGGCCTGGCATTTTAATTAGGACTGTGTGGGGTATATATAGGGTTACACTCTATAAATAGAACGGCTACACCCCACCATGGTGACTGTTGTAAACAAGCATATACCTTCAACTCGCGACCTCTGTCTGATCCCAGGTGTGGTTTCAGAGGAAAAATACATTTCCGTAGACGCTTGCTTAAAGAATGGACACAAATGTTGTTTGTGGGTTTGCTTGTTTGCTATTGGCTGTTTTTCTGGGATTTTGTGTGTGCGTGCGTGTGTGTGTGCGTGTGTGTTATGTTAATTGTTTGCATTTTGTTTTGTTTGTTGTTTTTAGTTTTGTGTGTTGTTTGGTGTGTTATTTTTGGTTTTGTCTTTGTTGGGGGGTAGGTTTTGTTGTTGTTGTCTTGTTGGGGAATCGTCGTTGGTTGGGGATTTTTTTTCCGTTCGTGTGTCGGATGAGGATCATTTCATTTTCTTCTTTTTTCGTGGTTGCTGTTTTTCTGTTTCTGCAATCAGCAATATTTTGTATCTGTCTTGGCGTATTGTGAGTATGTCAAGTGTGAGTCAATTAAACCAGTGGTTGATAGCCTCAACAACGTTTCATGCCTTACGGTACGATGACACAGTATTGGCCTTGTCACACACCTTAGGCCTTGTGGGTGCCGCTACACAAAGCCAGCTTACCGCTGAGAAAAACGAAACAAAACTACCGTAATATAATACATACTAACAACTGTACTGTGCACAAATGAATAGCCCTTAGATATCAGTGTGGAGTGAGTGGGTGAGTTTAGTTTTACGCCACACTCAGCGATATTCCAGCTATATGGCGGCGGTCTGTAAATAATCAAGTCTGAACCAGACAATCCAGTGATCAACATCATGAACACCAATCTACGCAATTGGGAACCGATGACATGTGTCAACCAAGTCAGCGAGTCTGACCATCCGATCCCGTTAGTCACCTCTTACGACAAGCATAGTCGCCTTTTTGTGGCAAGCATGGGTTGCTGAAGACCTATTCTACCCCGGATCTTCACGGGTCGATATCAGTGTGGAGCGGGGATCAGTGGCTGATGGTAGGAACGACCATCCACGCCATCGGTGTACGACTACACGTGCATTCAGTCGTATTGTATACACAGGCCTGTAAATTTCTGTTTCTTTTTAAAACAGTTTTAACCGAGAATAGCTCTCTATCCCTTGACTCAGCTGTTCGCATATAGTCTAAAAAACACAGTATTTCGCATCTGCATAAATACAGAGTATTTGCAGCGATATAAAATTTCGAATACATTTCAATTTATACAGATTCAATTATACTAGTGATATAGGACAATGTTTCCTACCAACTCCCCATATACATTGAAAAATAATATACAAACCTTCCTCCTGCGTATCCAACATGGGTACAATGTGTGAAGCCCATTTCTGGTGTCCCTGTCGTGATATTGCTGGAATATTGCTAAAAGCGGCGTAAAACTAAACTCACTCACTCTCCAGCATATAGACTCTCACAACAGTTTTAAGATTGCTGAAATTTAATTGAATGTTTCCCTCCCTGCTCCACGATATCCCCATATAACTGGATATTTAAACATGAATTGGCTAGTAGAGATCATGACACCCCGGTACATTACAAGCTGGTAGGGGTCCCAGTCATACGCCATGCTGTGCCCCTGACCATGGCAACACGTGTCCAGTACCATACTATAACTCAATAAATGATCTTAAAATATTATTGATGATCAGTTGTAACAAAAAGAATAAAAACGCTGACTGTTCTTTATCAGTTAACTGCCTGCCAAATGCCTTTGAAAGATGTGTCAAAATAAATTTCCAGGCGCTGCTTCATTACTTCGGGATTTTGTCCCCATCAACAAGGGGGTGCTTGGCCTCAATTACCGACAGCTGTCCTCACGAGTGGAGGTCCGTGCAACACAATGGATTTCCGCTTGAGTGACTCCCAATGCAACAATCACATTTGGCACGTGGTTGGCTCTATGTAACAATTGTCCGATTACACAATTCCCACGACCACGGCGTTTCTGACAAAATTCAATTTTCTCTCGTTTACAGTATTAGGAAAGTGTTTTTTCTGTGTAGAAATTCAGAACGAATTAATTCCTATTTAAAACGTTTCGGTTGGAATTATTTTTAAAAAATTACGACGTCATTCCCTTGACCTTTCTGGCGTTAAGAACGACATATGTACAATAAATGGCGTCCCTCAATTTTCATGACAATCAGGCGGGATATTTAGCGCCATCTGCCGCTCTGAAGCAAGCGAACACTCAAAGTATACGCCACGTCCCCAATATATATTTAACTCAAACATGTTCCCAAATTAAACAGACTCTTTGTTTTTCGTTGACTTTTAAACAAACATTTATTTAATATGTCGAACATATTAATGTCGTGTAATGGATACGGTTTCTTTCGATATATATCGATCAGACTAAAATTGTATTCAATCGTTTAAATTATCCACAGATTAAATTAACTGTAGATTATTTGAAATATACCAAGAATCTGTGAATCGCAGAGACCTCTTTCCATCTGGCTTTAGATGTGGTGTGATTATTGATTTCACGATTACAGCCTATGACAGAAAAGGGAAATCCACGCTGTTAAACTTGTGACGTCACATGATATTGCGAGTCACGTGATACACCAATATAGCTCGCCATTTTGGTTTTCTATTATGGCTCATTTGGACAGAATATGAGTCACTTAGAAAGAGTATATCTATTTTATTTCATTGGTTTTAGTCAGTTTTTACTCCACAGATGTTAGTAGAATGTGTAATAAGTCTGTCCAACCGATAAGGGAGCTTTCTAGACGAGGTGAGTAATGTATGTTGGTAAGTTAGCGAGGCCGACCCTTGTTTCGCTGGCCGCGACCATAGTATCGCTACATATGGCGACGATGTTGGGTCTGTCAAGTTTCCTTCGGAAATTTGTGCACCCACCCCGAGGGAGCAAACTTCGTGTTACAGTGTATACAATTCTAACCGATGAATTGTTCGCCCTCCAATTCCAACATGAGACCTTCAACGTAGCACCATTGATTTTTTTCTTCAGCAATGGGTATGTTTTCGCTTGACAACAAAGGCCAGGAAAGTAGTGTCATTGTACAATGGGATAATTTTATGTTGAAAGTACTCTTTGTGTTTTATATTTTCTGTTAATGGTACTGCAGGTAGATTACTAAATAGGTCTGATACACAAATACTCTGAGAATCACATTATGATCCTATTCTGTCTAAATCGTCAGCTGGGGAGACACGGCTTGACCTGAACAAAAGAACGTGACATTGTTTGGGGCATGTGTTGAGCGAACGCTGGAAAAGGCCATGTTAAGTAACAGCTGATCGAAGTGTCCTCTTCTTTATTCATATTTCATTGTGCATTAGTAACTTTAATTCCAATCAGCTAATTTGATTTGATAAAATCGACACAACAGTCTTTGTTTACAAACAGTCATTGAACAATGTTATGACTTTGGCATAACAAAGGCATAGACTACCCTTTGTCATAATCAGCTGTTCGGTGTCGTTCTTTTATTTTTGTTAGGCCTTAATGGTTCATTTCACTTTCAGTGTTATAGAATGTTATAAAGTATTATTTCAGTTATCCAGTTATGCTTACCAAGGTGTTGTACATATTGGTATAGACTTGAATATACAACATGATCAGACACATTTTGTCAATTGTTTGTTTGGTGTTTGGGGCATATTATTTTCACAGAAGAATGAGCATATGAAGAAGTATTAACCTTACTATCCTTATAAACATGAGTTAGTAATGTACCAGTCTGTATGGCAAGAGACTTGATCAGCTTGTAACCATATTTGTTTAATGCTCAGGAAATACCTATGTAAGTTTAGGCTTCTTTCATTTACACCTTCAGGTGTTATGAATGAACCTTTTTTATAATCTGTTGACCAGCCAAATACATTGTGTGCAAAATATGTTTTGATTAATTCAACTATTGGTTTAGTAATAAAAATTGTCCCATTTTTAACAAAATCAATTGTGTTCCTTCACTAATACAATATGTTTTTAGCCAAATATCTATAGATATCCTATTGAATGTATGTTATTATTTTATTACTCTACCCTTTAGTACTTCATTATGTATGAGGCGGTGGTTAAAGCGTTCGCTCGTCACACCGAAGACCTGGGTTTGATTTCCAACATGGGTACAATGTGTGAAGCCCATTTATGGTGTCCCCCCACTGTGATATTGCTGGAATATTGCTAAAAGCAGCATAAAACTGAATTATTTGCGTCAGCTCACAAGAAGGAACCTTTATAATTAGCAGAGGGAACTAAAATGATTCGCAATGTCTTTACAGATGATTCAAATAATATATATCCTTGGGTGTGTCTGTGTTAAAATTTGTAGTTCAGCATATATTAACACCATTATGGATTTTCCACAACTGTATGGTCAGGTTTCACTTTGAGTAGGTCCTTGTCAGTGTTTGTTTTGAAAGAATTAAGGAAATTACGATTGGATTGTACCAGTGTTTCATCTGGCACTTGTCAACAGTGATTGTGTCTGGAATAATAAGTAGTTTGCTTGTCTTGAATATTTTCCCCCTTAGGTTACATTTTTGCTCCAATTCACCACTGGGATGATTTTTCTCCAAAATGCTGAATCACCCTATAGTGGTTGTGCAAAATTCTTAGGTTTGTACAATTCTTGTGAGTTTTACACCAGTTTTAGCAATATTCCAGCAATATAATAGCGGGGGACACAAGAAATGGGCTTCACACCTTGTACGCATGTGGGGAATCAAACCAGGGTCTTTGGCATGACAATCGAACACTTTACCCACTAGGCTACCCCACCACCCATCTCAAGACAATTTGGGACCAACATATTTATGTGTCTATTGGCGGTATGAAACCATGAAAGCCCAGGAATCATGCACCATACATCAGCATGTGCATTCCAGGCTGAACAGAATGTCAGTAACCTAGGTTTGTCATGAGGTGACTGAAAACAGTGGGTATCTGATAGTCTGTCTTGTAGGTCTCTATTCCATTATTTACTGATATTTGTGCTGATGTCCGCAATAATCATCATTCACTTTGGGCAAAATATGGACCAAATATCAAAATAAGACATGTCCAGTGATATGCTTATTATCACTTGGGATTTTTCAGTTATGACAAATCAAGATGAGCTATAAACATTCAATGATTCATTGGCCAATAAATTGTGGATAGTAGTTATTTTATTGCCACTATCTGGTTGACCTCAGTTTCTTATACATCATTTCCTTTCCCTGTACATTGAAAGGTGACTCAATTTTGTGAATCTGACGTGAAAGGAAACAATATTTAGATAAAAAGCTATTAATATTTGTAGTCGAAGTAATAATTGTTTTGTGTGTCTGCACTAAAATGTATACCTGATAAATGATTAAAAAAAGCATGTCATGCGCAATTAAATACATTCCAGTGACGTGTCACTAACTATTGTACTTAAAAAATATTTGAAGATCCCAAAACACATATTCTGTTAATTTGTTCACATAAGCAGCCACTGGGTTTTCCTGGATCTACAAAACTGACAGATTCACGGGACCCCTTATGTGAAAGGGTCATATGTACTTCCGGGACAAGTGGGATAACCTAGTGGTTAAAGCGTTAGCTCGTCACTCCGAAGACCTGGGTTCGATAATGTGTGAAGCCTATTTCTGGTTTCCCCCGTCCTCATAGTGCTGGAGTATTGCTAAAAGTGGCATAAAACTAAACTCAATCACTTCAGTATAAGATGTAATAATTGTGTTCACAACAGAAACTTCACATTTTGTGTTGAGAATTTGGGTTCAGTGAATATTATTATGTGTCCATCGGGATGCAATATATATTTTTCTACAGCCATTCTAAACATTTGTGCATACTGGATGCCCATTTCTGCATCACATAGAACCCTGATTCATCGTTTATCAGATTTTATTCTCTCATGATTAGCAACAATCAAAGTTGTTGACTTAGTATGGAAATTACTTGAATGTGCATCCATGCATTCTACATCATAGATGTGTGCTATTAGCGATACATTAGTTGAAGGATCCCTCGGCTATTGAACTCGTTATGACCCAGTGCTACCCCCTTGTGGGCCTTCAGCTGATGAGCGACATGTGCTAATCAGTGGATTACGTAACGTTACTTCTAGAATTGTTGCATAAAGCTTTTGGGTCAATTCTCAGTCAATGATACTCAGGAGATATTTTTCTTTTCACTAATTTTGCATGCTTGCCACTTTTGGATGGTGGTTGACAACAGATGGAAGTAAGATTTTTGATCACTTTTTATAACACTTGAAAAAAGCTTCAAGTCTCATGACACGTGCGGAAAATTATTCTTATAAATTGAATTTTTAGGGTTTGGATGACTAAATTCTACAAACAGTGGTTTATTCAGCTAGATAATGGATATGCCTATTGCAGTGTTGCAAGTTCATATGGGTCTGTGAGATTACGATTGTGAGCGATATGATGTCGGTTTCTTACCACCAGAAAATACGTTTTAACAAAAGTGTAACCTGTAGATAAGCCAACCCCTTTCTACGGACTGCTTTTTAGGTCCTCAAAATTTTGGCTTATCTTATTCTTTTGTATTGTATTCAAGGGCCCTCAGTTTCATTATTAATTTTGAAACACAACTCAAAACAATGGTAAAAAGTCATCTTGATTTTTACCCAAGACGTGTGTGTATATATGATTTTACGCATCCAAAATACAATTGGTCACTTACAATGAGTGACAGGCTATGCACATGTCTAAATACCAAACAGTGTCTATTTTGGTGTATATTTCCCAGTACAGATTCTGAACGTGTATCATGAATGTGTACTTTGTGTCCATGGTATTGCCAGTTTTGTAACTTGTTTGTATTTTAAAGTAATGTAAAACAAATGGGTGTTTCTTTAAAATATGAAATACAGATCTTGTTGGACAAAGTGCTTTTGTTTAAAATAATTGGAACGTCGTTGTGCTTTACAGCAATATGACTCTAGGACCTTCTAAATTTCAACTCTTTGTTACAACAAGGACCTTACTTTCAGGCTTACTTTAAAGCGATAGTCACCGTAAAAATTGAGCTTTCTAGCCCAAACATCATACCTTGCATTATTAACAGTGTTTAATGTTGTTACATGAACTGTTGCAAGATCAGCTTACTTGACTTAAGAGGATTTTTATTAGTAGCAGGCTTCTTACCAGTGGCTAACCTCTCATTCTGAAACATTGAAATGTATTTCAGTTTACAATCATTAACCATTTGTCTGTGAAAACTGAGTAGAAATGGACTGAACTTAGATTAATTATCGAAGGATATTGAATTTTTGTTTGTGTATAAAATCGATTGTTTGTGTGTGATTAGTATGAAGATGAAGGTAAGTTCATGATCATGAGCCAGAAATGCACATTGTTGTTGGCATAGTGATATGGCAATATAGTATTTTATCACAATACAAGGCCTAGAATACATTGGTTTATAGCCTCTGTATCATCATCCATACAACACAATACAGGTTGTACTGGTGTAAATATGGGAATAATGACTTGGCTGTTCGACAACCAGCTGAAAAGTGTCATGCCCATTTCTGGTGTCTCTCGTCATGATATTGCTGGAATATTACAAAAGGCAGCATAAAATCGTACTCACTCCTCTACTTGCAAGGATTCTTAAGTATATCTCATCAACTAATTAAATGTTGAATCCATATAAAAATTTAACCCCCTACATAGTAGTGACATATTCATCATTTCACAACTTTACTGTATTGGTACACCTTATCGTCAGTATGTTTTTATGCTGCACTAGGTCCCAAACCACAAAGCGTTTGTAGCTTTACAAGCTATCGTAACTCGTACAATATCATTGGCTTATAAATGGCATAGTGCTATGAACGCTTTGAGCATCGGGCCACTGGTCACTTAGTTGTTAAAGATGGCTCACAATCACAATCACATCATTTGATCCCCTAATTATGTTTTAAGGTTTGTCAGTGTCATGCCTTTGCTTGTGTGTTCCACCAGTGTAGTTACAGACTTTCCTCTCACAAAGATATGCCATATAGTGATAAATCAGGAATACTGGTCAAAGCAGTGTTGGGGCGGTGGGATAGCCTAGTGGTTAAAGCGTTTGGGGGATCTGGATTCAATTCCCCACATGGGTACAATGTATGAAGCCCATTTCTGGTGTCCCCTGCCGTGATATTGCTGGAATATTGCTAAATGCGACATAAAACCCTACTCATTCATTCAAAGCAGTGTTACGGTATCTTTAATATCTCTAAAAATGTATGTAAAAATGTTCTGTTGGCCTTTGTCTCTAGCAAACTGAGGTTACCAGTGTTACTTACTTTGCTTCGTCATGATCAATTATTTGGGGTTTTTTCACCCCATCTTTGTGATTTTTTTTTATTTGTTATCTGAAAAAAATGTGACTTGTGTTTTCTGTTGTCAGGAAAGGTGTTGTTGCCGGAGCCAGGAATTGTGTAAGGCAGGCAGTGTTGTCCAGCTACCCACCCTGTCAAATGAGCAGTGCTAGTGTAGACTCAGTCTGCTGTTTAGGATCACTGTGATCACGATACAGTTTCCGTGTACTGGTTGTGTAGTTCAAGAAATGAACATGGGCCAGAAAGTATCGGGTGGTATTAAAACTATTTCTAATTCACGAGAACCAACATACAAGGCTATCAACAGAGAGCCAGCGTACAATCCAGATTTCCAAAAAACCTAGTCGTCTTGACGCGCTTCTGGACATGCCTCCAGCGCCAAGGGACGTGCAACTGTCTCATGCCTGGAATCCAGATGACCGATCTCTAAATATATTCGTAAAGGATGATGATGCCATGACGTTTCATCGGCATCCTGTTGCTCAAAGTACAGATTGTATTCGTGGCCGAGTGGGCTACACAAGGGGACTCCATGTTTGGGAAATTGTGTGGAGTACACGACAAAGAGGGACCCATGCAGTGGTGGGCGTGTCTACGACCGATGGGCCATTACACTGTGTGGGATACCAGAGCCTAGTCGGCAGTAGTAAAGAATCCTGGGGCTGGGATCTCGGCAGGAATAAACTCTACCACGATATGAAGAACAATCCTGGACTAACATATCCCACGCTGTTGAACCCAGATGAGAATTTTGTGGTGCCCGGACAGTTTCCTAGTTGTGTTAGATATGGATGAAGGAACTCTTAGTTTTGTTGTAGACGGACAATACCTGGGTGTGGCTTTCAGGGGACTGAAGGGGAAGAAGCTGTACCCCATAGTCAGTGCTGTGTGGGGCCATTGTGAAATCACAATGAGGTACATCGGTGGCCTTGATCGTAAGTATTTTAACATCAGTTTGCTTACCAGATTCTGCCTCTGCAGTGTTCTTATAAAAATTTCAGGAATTTATCCAGACCTGCTAAGATGCTGATATTTAATCCCATAATTTCGACAAGTACATTGTTTTCCAATTTCGTTGTTTTAGTGTTAACAAATGTAATGACTTTGTGGGGGTGACTTGTAATTCATTGATATAAAAGGACCAATACAGTGGAAGCTGTCTAAACCGGCACTCGTCGGGACTAAAGAAATAATCCGGTTTGGACAGCGTGCCGGATTGTACAGATGACACGTTACCTCCGACTAGAAGTGAACAAGTTTTGTCTGTCTCATATACATTGTTCTATCACAATAAAACATGTCAACTCACTCAGATTAAAATGTCTTTGTGGGCAACCATGTTGTTTCAACGCAAGATTAATTGGTGACAATAAACATCCAGCCGAATCCTCGCCACACGCCGGATTAGACAGCGCTGATTACAGCATAAACCCACATTCGGGCGGCTCATTTCATGCCGAGGTCCGGAATAGACAGCTGCCGGATTGCAGAGCTTTTAAATGATGATAATTGCACTAGCCACGGATGGGACTGAGATTTTATGCCGGTGTTGACAACTTGCCAGGTTGGACAACTGCCTGTTTTGACAGCTTCCACTGTATAGAGGAGTCCATGAAGATTCGGGTTAGAATTGATCTTCAGTAACCCATGTTTGTCATACGAGGCAACTAATGGGATAAGGTAGTCAGGCTCGCTGATTTGGTTGACACATGTCATCGTAATCCCTATTGCACAGATCGATGCTCATGCTGTTGATCACTGGATTGTCTGGTCCAGACTCGATTATTTGCAGACCAGCACCATATGGTGGCGTAAAACTAAACTCAATCAATCAATATAGAGAAAGAGGCTTTATTGCTTAGTTTATCAATAATGCATTAATGTTGCAACAATGTGATTTAGTAATATAGTATAGAGCCCCTGAATTAGGGAAAAAACAGTTTTCAACAAGAGAATTTTCCCCAGATATGTCCAATGTCTTGGTGACAGTGTTGACAGAATGACACGATCTAGGTGATATAGGACTTAGTAATGCTGACTCTGCATTTTGATGTAGGGCTGTTTGGCTGTAAAGTTTGTACAGCTGTCACCTCTGTCACAGTCCAGATACATATGTAAAATGATCCTAACAAATAATCTATTATTCGGCTAAAAGCAGTTTTTGTCTTCATATATTCTGTTTGATTGTTTCAGTTTAAGCGAGTATTTTGTGTCAGTCACAGTTCGTTTTCCTTTTGATTTTTGGCTATTTTTAAAACTGGAGAAGTGAAACGTAAAATGGCAATTCTTATTTTATGTGTTTAGGTGTAATGAATCAGATGTCATTAAAAATTTTGGCCTTTAGTCAACAGTTATTATGTTTGGCTAACTTAGTACATAAAGCATGTAAGTAGCAAACTAGCTGTCAAGCTGAATGTGACCTGAATGCCTGTTGGGTGTCTGCAAGGAAACATTGGGGCAGCTCATTCTGCTTTAATTTCAGTACTGAAATTTGTATTTTACAAATGCCAAACAACTGGTTTTGTGTTTCCAGGATCACATGCACAACTTTTACAAAGCAGTTTTATCCTGTTTATGTATATTTTGTGTTGGTTTTTATGATATAAAATTTACTCATCTTGGGTATATAAAAGGCTACATGGAATACCCCGTCAGAACCCATGGTTCACCATTAGGGGCGGTGGGGTAGCCTAGTGGTTGAAGCTTTTGCTGAAGACTTGGATTTGATTGCCAACATGTGTACAATGTGTGAAGCCCATTTCTGGTGTCCCTCGTGATATTGCTAGAATATTGCTAAAAGCAGCATAAAACCATACTCACTCCATTGCCCATTCTGTATTTTTTCAGTATGTGCATACACATTTTTACTAAAATTCACAACAGTCCTATCAACCATTATGTTGTAAGCTAGAGCTGTGACGATATATCGTAGTATCGATAATCGTGATACTTTTTCTGACAATAAATATATCGATACTTTTTTTCGTATCGTGATATGTATCGTTGACCTTAAAATTATTAATTTTTACCAGAAATTGGCGGTTATGTCAAAATTTACACTGTTACTTGCTATCAAAATATACATTTTGAAAGAAAATAACTAAAGATAGCATATCGTGATATGCATCGAATCGAATCGTATCGTTCCAAGATATCGTAATACGTATCGTATCGAGATATTTCTGTATCGTCACACCTCTATTGTAAGCGTGTGTTTGATAAACATAGTTTACTGTTATATTCATCAATTCCATTTTACAATTTCAACCCTAACAAGTCACCATAACTGTATGTTTATGAAGTGTTCATATCTATTTCAGCTGAGCCGTTGCCTCTTATGGACATATGTCGACGCACCGTTCGACAACAGTTGGGCAAGAACAGATTACATGAAATACACCGACTTCCTCTACCCAATTCCCTTAAGAGTTACTTGCTGTACCAATCATAGCGTGGACCGACGTCGGACGCATACACAAGAATAGTTGTGATCCAGGAACCCCATACTGTTTGTCTGCCTTGAAGCAGACCAGTTCATTCTTCTTGTGAAGGGGGTGTTGGAGATGGCTTGTTCCACTCTTCCATTGGGGAGGCTCTGGAATGCAATTTACACAACACTCCATATCACCAACTTTGACACGCTGGACAATTGAGCCAAATTAGGAACATTATATATTTTTTAAACAATGATGCCGCATGTTCTATGAAATGTGTGATTTTTTTTAATGAGTCGTGTGAATGCAGCACTGATAATATGTGATTTTTGAGATTTTATGTGGGTATGAACTTTGTTTTACAATGATTCCCAATGCTGGTAATTGCTCTAGGACAGACAGTTGCATTGAAATATGTCAGTGACAATTCTAAAAGTTGTTTTGTCTCATGCTTTTAGGTAGCAACTGATTTCAGTGGCCATACCTCGTATAACGCTTTTTTTAAAAAAGTCTTGGCTGCCCAATACTTCATTGAATTATCTTAAAATCGAAAGCATTTTCTGCTTTTTCTTTTATGGTAACTTGTTGAAGTTTTACAATTTTATTGTAACAATGGTATTTATAAGCCCACTTTTTGAGATTGAAATGTTTAAGCAGTGTGTAGCTGAGCTCACAACACACTGTCCTTGTTATCAACACCTTTACCATTAGGAAATCAGTGCATATTTGACAATGTTTGCTACTACAACTATTGCACAGATTTTACCAAATTTCCTCAAGTTCCAATTACCACATGTTTATTCCCGTTTGTCAGCAAGAGGGCGAGAGTGGTGCTCAAGATAGAATTTCCTGAAGAAACCAATTTACACAATGGTTATGTGACAGTAAGGTTCATGACAAGTTTTCTACACATATCAGTATGCAAACTCCAAAGAATGTCGAGATATCCATAGAACATGAATTTTATAGTTACCATGGTAACTGAACATCTGCTATGGTCATGTGAGATTGTAGTAGTAGTTACGGCATCTTCCTAATATTCACCAAGAACGCCTCCTTGTCAAGTTTGGTAAGTTCCAAAGGATTGCTGCTAAAGCTGAAGAAATGTCCATATGTTCTTTGTAAAAATATCCAATTTAATCTGTAAATATTTTGGTGCTACTGGCATAATTCTGTTAGTTTTATGTACATTGAATTGCAGTGTTTCTGTAAGAGTATCAGTACTGCTATTTACTATGTGCTGTGCTGCTATTTAAAATATCAACCTGACCATCTGTTCTCATGGAAGGGCATCTTGATATGTTTCACTGACATTCAGCATAAAATTACAGGAAATACTATAATAAGATACAAATTAATCAAATAAATTAAAATAAAATATAAATGACAGGCAACTGGAAACAACAGCTAATTCTTTGTTGCCAGTCTCAGGAACTGTTAGGTGCAAGCAGTTGTGTAAAACCCTTTTCCGTTGACTTGTTAGAAAATGAATATTCCTTCATCTTCCATTTTTAACTGACTACATAACTGACTCACTTTTTAACTGATCTCACATTTAGTATAAGATTTCTGGTGTCCCCTGCCGTGATGTTGCTGGAATATTGCTAAAAGCAGCCTAAAACCAAACTCAGTCAGTCAGTCAGTTTAGTATAAGATTCAACCATAACCATATTGATTTTATTTACTACCGAGCTCGTCAGTATTCTCTTATAAAGTTGGATTACAGTCAATATCACTACTGTTGAGGTGGAAACACTATATGAAGTTTCTACAGTACAGATCATGATAATTAGCACAAAATTTATATAATATTTCAGAGTCAAATGTTTGTAATTTACTGGCAGGAAAAGAAAATCTGTGTATCATCCACAACGTGTACAATGTGTCGATACAGATTGAAGCAGATTTGGAATTATAATCATGGATCATATTAGTGAATCATTACACCTTGTGGTGAAGGACAAATTCCCAGAGTGATGTGTGTTAGTAGGCTAACATGTCATACATAAGCTGGCAGGTTGTTGGCCTGTTATCTGGGGTAAAACAAAACAGTTTAGCTCCAAGAAAATAGGTTTAAGAAGGAATATGGAAAAGGTCACTTTCTACTGGGTCTGATTAAATCAATTCTGGGTCACCAAATTTGGAACATTTGTTAGGAATTACATCATTGGTCATTAATTGATAATCAAATTGTCAGTTGTGATATATATACTGTTCACACTTTGCTAAGGATCAAATCACTGATTCAACAGAAAAATATGATGTGGGGTCTAATTTGGTTTGAATATGTAAGCATGTTGTAAGCATGGATCCTAGATTTCAGTATGTCGCTGCATCTTGTGGATCCCATACCTGCTATTGACAGGTGTTGTGTACTTGTCAATGACTCGTTCCGTTATTTTCAAAATGGTTGATTGGTGCCATGAAAACCAGGTTTATGGTTACTCATGTATCAGGTGCATAAGTTTAGATTAAAGTGGCTGTTTGCCTAAAGAGGAGTTACCATAGCACTATTTATCCAGTTTTGAATGGATACAATTTCAAATTATAAATCTGTTTAATTAAATTTGGGAATTTTTGTGATCCTTAACAACGTGTGAGTAGTATAGACTGATACATGGCAATGCAAGAATAGCAGTTTGAATATTTGACTCATAACCAACACTTGATATTTTTAAAGATCATGGCCACGTTTCTTCAGCTATCAATTTATGAATATTCCTATCAATCTTGATGAAGAGGCAGTTCACGTATGCTTGACCCAGTTTGGGTTTTCCTCCAGTGAATGCTAGTCAAAGAAGTGAGGTTTTAGTCAACCAGTGTACGCGAATGGATAAATTAATTTAATTTTTTTACAAATGTGTCATTGTGTGTGTACATATGATGTTTACATGATGTTCTCACAATGCAGTGATGTTCTGTTGCCTTGTGGGATACTGTGCAATACTATTCATAGTCTAAAATGCCAGCTCCAGGAACAGGTTGGAGGTCATATTGGCTTTCTTCTGGCCAGAGCACAGGCTGCTGGGAAGGTTGTCTTCTGGGGCAATGGATTCTGGGAAGGTTGTCTTCTGGGGCAATGGATTCTGGGAAGGTTGTCTTTAGGGGCAGTGGATTCTGGGAAGGTTTTCCATCAGGCAATGGATTCTGGAAAGGCTGTCCATCTAGTTTTGAGTTATTATTTTGAAACAGGGCTATGGGGAAATATTGATCAAAAACTTTTTCAGTATATTTCTATTTATAAGTCATATAGTTAGGGATGGATGGCTTTTTAATTCCCTTTCTGATATATGGATGCTTTGAAAAATGGTCAGTTGCATTTAGAATCTTATGAATGAGAATAGTGATTTCGACTTTCCTCCCAGAATTTCTCCACTGATATTTGATCCAATTGCTGCTAATGGCTTGAAATTCTCAGTGCCACCTTTGCAAACATATTTGGTTGATTGAGTGTGTCTGTACTCCATGTCTGAGTGGGCAGGTATGTCTCTCCCTGTAACTGGGGCTGATAGTTTGGGCTGTGCAGTCTTATCTGTATAGCAACTCTGGTCACTGATTAGTGACAACCTGTAGATATGCGTTATATTTAAAAATTGCTTACTTATTAATATATATCTTTGTTGGTCATTTGATAAGTGTGCTTCTGTAGCAAGTGCTTCAGGTAGATGATGAGAATAGCTGTAGCAAATCTGAAGGTGTATGCTTCATGAGGTGTCCTGATGGACTTGGTTAACGGGTTAACATTACAGTTTTCATAGTTAACTCTTCTTTTTAATGACTTTGCAAACTCAGGAAATGTGCAGTGCTGCAAATATTTAGGAATAGTGACTATATAGTTCAGTATCACACTGGCATTATCTTGCCGTATTGCACCAGTGAGGACTAGACAGATTACTGCTTTGTTATTATCATGGGATTATCGGATGAACTGGTTATATTGGACATTCAGGTCAGAATGGTTACATTGTTTTGTTTAATTAAATGTTTTGGTTTCTTTTCTTTTCTTTTCTTTCTTTCTTTTTTTCAATTTTTTTTCAGTGTTTAATAATTTAGCTTTATGGTTTTTTTAACAGATTTCACTAGGTCAACAATTCTGTTAAGACTCATTTTCCTGCATTTAGTACATTATTGTCTCTTGGCAATTTTGTATGAGGAATCTCAAACTAGTTACCCATTGTCAAGTGCTTTTGATTTGTTTTAAAATCAATACATTTGGTTGGTCAAATTTCAGCTCATTGTAAGTTTCAAATTTCATTGTTTCTTTTTGGGGGAGGTTATCTATCATAATTGTCAGAGTGTCTCTTGTCATATCAACGTCGTCATCCACCAGATTCGCTTTGTATGTTCTATCGGATACACCCAACCATTTCATTTGTACGACATACACCTTCAGATTTGATAGTTTGTATGTATACTTTCACCATTGGTATATGAAGGAGCTACAGTGGGGAAGGAGCCACCTTTACAGTGCTGTTTACTTGATTCATTACTATGTTCCTTATGAAAGCCCTCTGCGACCGGAATCAAACAATCAGCTTTGTATTACTGTAGTACCAACTGCTCATATGTCATGTGATAAAATCATTCTCAGTTGACAGTAATGGCATTTAAAGGACTTTTTTCAGGCTTTAAATTGTTGACTGTGTCAGTTTAATTTTAAGACCTAACTTGGTATTCCATTGTTTAACATTTTGATGAAAATGTTTTTAAAATTTTATTCTCTGGAGATGTTGATGGATAAATCAAAACTCAAGCCTGTCAAGAAACCGACAATAAAACTATTATTCATGATTTTTTTTTTAACAACCAAAACATTTTGTTTAATTCTGGGATCTACTTTTGAAAAGTTGAAAACTTTTCCAAAGTGTCAGATTACACCTGGAACAAATGTTTGGAAGTATGAGCTCAATTACCAGATCATTTTTTAAATTTAACCCTGAGAAAAAGACAGTGGTTTTAGTGAAGGTATTGATTGAATAATCTGAAATATTTAAATCCGAATTATATTCCTACTTTCTAAAAATCACTGTTAAAAGCTTTTTGTGAAGTAAAACAGATAATTAGAAATAGTCCTCACAGATTGGATATCTTCCAGGTTCTAAGAACAGTTTTAGGTAATATGGGCATGGCTTGGTTTTGATTTTGAAATATCACTGGCTCTGTTAATTTTAGTTCATCATTTTATACTTTTACGACAATTATTTTAACCACCTTTATTTCCATAATAAAATGTTGATACTCATTTTAAGTTTTAAACATCTCCATAAGATGGTTCTGTGACAGATTGAAGATGATAGCGCTAAATGTTTCACACTACTAAATAATCCATTTCTTATTGTCAAATGTACTTGAATCTACACTCTTAATATTGTTCGAACCAACACTTGAAAGTTCATAGAATGAACATAGAAATGACCATGCCAAAGTGTAAGAATTAACCATTTGATGACAAATATCCTAGGCTGGACTAGAGTTGTGGTACTGTGTTGTTGAAAGGGTTAAGCTGTGTATAGTGTTGTATTTATTTGCAGCTTGCTGCTAGATAGACTGACTGGGAGGGAGTGTGGTAGTAGTAGTAGTAGTGAGAGAGTGTTGACGAGTGAGTGAGTGAGTCAGTTGGAGAAGGTGTGTTTGAGATGGATGATGACTCATTTTGTCCCAGCACAGCACAATGTCCTGGAAGTTTTTACAGCCGAATGTTTTGTACATCTATAACATAACTCCTCATACGTCATATTTACTGGGAAATGTGATTCAACCCAGCTCACTGTAATCTGTATAATTGTTAAAGATTTAGGTGTATAATATCATTGAATAAGAATTCCTTTTTTTTTCATTCTTGTGTATATGTTAATCTATGGTCGGACTATATTTGACAGATTGCAGGAAGCAATTTATGGGGTGGTGGAATCAATCACTGGAAATACTTTAAAATTTAGATGTCAGAGTTGATATAGAACATATTGTGTTGAAACCATTGGGGAAGAAAAAATATTTTCAACAGTCTCAACATTGCTATTTTCATTTTTCTACTTTTTAATTCTTAGGCTTGACTGTAAAACAAACAAAATTGGTCTGACGGTGAAAGAGTTTGTGACTGGAACTAGGTGAGTGTTGTGACAGGTGCTGTGCTGTGGATACTGTGAATGTGATGCTGAGCAAATTGTACATACATCCCAGCGTCTGTATGTTCGCGTGCATGTACTGCGTCCAGCGTCCCTGTCTATCTGTTGTGGGTCCACAGTCTAGATGTCTACGGTTGTCTCTGTGGCTCGAAGGTATTAATTTTATGTAATAAAACAGTCACGCAAAGCCTTACAAGTTGACTTGGTGTTGTTTTTACATGTTCTGTGATGGAACTCACTCTCACTCACTCAGGTGAGGTAGGAGGTTTGATAACTTTGTGAATAAATAGTCCATGCATCTGAAAGAACGTTGGGTTTTATGCCCCCTGGTCCTTCTTCAACAAAGCGGCCACAGCCCAGAGATGATCGGAACTCTTCACAACAGACTTACAGGATGATTGTGCTACCATAGCTTTGGGGAAAAGGGTGCCGTTCTACAAAGTGATGTTAGTGCTGAGGTGACCATAACTCCAATACCTTAACATTGACTTGGGACGGTGGGGTAGCCTAGTGGTTAAAACATTCGCTTGTCACTCCAGAGACCTGGGTTTGATTCCCCACATTGGTACAATGTGTGAAGCCCATTTCTGGTGTCCCATGCTGTGATATTGCTGGAATATTGCTAAAAGCTGCGTAAAACTAAACTCACTAACACTGACTTACTATAGTCTTAGTGCTAAGGTTTTGTACTACAGCACCCAGGAACCTTGATACAGTGTTGCAATGTTGCTTTATCTATTCTCACTGTAGCAAGGCTTATCTTTAAGTAATAATACAGATTTTGCTACATGGTCTGAAGCTCATTTCATTTGTCACTGTCAGTACTATTCCCTACAATATCATGGAGTAGTACTATTCCCAGGAATATATAGACTGCCCTCATTAATCACTGGTCTGTCTGGTCCAATATCCTACATTGTTGGGGATCAAAGACAGTCTTCCCAGTCATGAAGCAACATACATGTAGACTAAAAATATCAATCATAAATATCCACAAAGTGATCTTTGCTGTGATTATCGAACTCCCATACCAAGATTTACATAGCTGTAGTACTAAAAGGTTTTGTGAAGAGGAGCCCTGTTTGATATATTTTGTATTCACAACATTTATTCCATGTTATTGGTGACGCTTCTCTAACCTGGACAAGATGGTTAAACTTGATAAGATGTTCATTTTGTTGTCTGATAGCTCACAATTGTTTGAAAAGGCGACTATGCTTGTCGTAAGAGGCGACTAACGGAATCGGGTGGTCAGGCTCACTGACTTGGTTGACATGTGTCATCGGTTCCCAATTACGCAGATCGATGCTCATGCTGTTGATCTCTGGATTGTCTGGTCCACACTCGATTACTAGTATTTACAGACCGCCGCCATATACTAGTAGCTGGAATATTGCTGAGTGCAGCGTAAAACTAAACTCACCCAATCACTCAATTGTTTGAATGTTAAAATAAAAAAATGTGAATGGATTATTTTCACATCAAGCCGTTAGAAATATCTCGTGTATGTTTCACCCAACACTAATATGACTGAACCATCTTCCAATGGTTAACAGGTCCAATGTGAAGTGGTTAAGTGTGATCACCAAACACGGAGGTCAATATGGTTGTCAAAGGTCACACATAAACGTTCTTGTGGCACAAGTTCTCGAAAGTTCAAAAGCATTTCCTTATGTCTTTAGAATGTTCGGATTTACATTGGTTTGAAGATCATTTTCAAAGCATGTCACTTTAGTCACACAGTGTTGGAATAATGTGGAGGGAAGCCCAACACAATCTTTGGATGGGGTTTGAAATCCGCAGGCATAGGTCAAGTTCTGATAAACCAAGGATAATGATCAGTGACCCACTTGCACAAAGTCATCCTCATGCAATAAATATGCTAAGTCACTACGACAGATCTGGGCTGACAGATTCCTGGTACACTAAAGGGAGGAAACTGTCAATTACTGCACCTGAGATGGTTTGGCCATGAATGTTGGTTTGTTTGGTTGTTTAATGCCGCCCTCGGCAAAGCGGCCATATGTGAGTGAGTTTAGTTTTACGCCCCACTCAGCAATATTCCAGCTATATGGGTGTGGTCTGTAAAAAGAGTCTTGACCAGACAATCCAGTGATCAACAGCATAACCATTGTTTACACAATTGGAATACGATGATGTGTCAACCAAATCAGCGAATCAGACCACCTGATCACATTACTCGCCTCTTATGACAAGCATGGGTTACTGAACACCAGTTCTAACCCGGATCTGGGCCATGAATGACTTTGAGGGAGCAGCCCATGGCACTTGGGTTGTTGCACACTGCAGTCAGCCCTTTTTCAAAGTTTGGGATCCAGGATAGTTTTCTGAACTGAAATTTGAAATGTTAAGCATAAGAAGTGTTTTACAACACCATATACACACTGGACTTTCAGAATGGTTTTATTGTACCAATATAGGGACCACAACCTTAAGCGAACACTTGAACTACTGGCAACTCAACCACCTGTAGTGTTCTTTGAGAAGAAATAATATTTCAAAGAAAACATGAATACTTTTGAAACAGGGTGAGGTGTCACAATAGAAATTAAAACAAAGGACTGATGAATGCAGGATTATTTTTCATGTCCTGAATGATGGGGTTGTCCCATTTTATGTGTTATGATGGTTATGATAAGTATGTTTCAGAAATGGGTTCAAAACACAATCGGGGCAGGGGGGTGGTGTGTTAAAAAGCGTTGGCTCATCACGCCGAAGATCCGAGTTCGAATCCCCACATGGGTACAATGTGTGAAGCCCATTTCTGGTGTCCCCTGCCGTGATGTTGCTGGAATATTGCTAAAAGCGGCGTAAAACCAAACTCAGTCAGCCAGTCAAAACACACAATCACACCCTTGCTCACCCCAGCCATGGATTAGTACAGTCGAGCACCGTTGTTTCGAACTCTGATAACTCGATATCTTGGTTGTTCCGGCAAAATCCTTCATAATTTACCATTATTCAAGCTCTATTAACTCGATACGGATGTCTTGATATTTCGGATATCTTGATATAATTTTATTGTCCCAACAAGCAAAATTACCCTTTTAACTCGATATTTGCAAACAAACTCGATATTCACCTACCTTTCATGGGCAAGTATCCCTCTGTACTGAGGTTGTTTCCACACGTTTACACACGGTGCGGCATGAATCAAAGGGATGCGGTAGTGTAAACTAATTAGGTCTAATTGAGTTGAAGGTGTCACTTGTTTGTTATTTAATTAGGGTTAATTTAGAAAGAATTAATTAGGAAGTACCGTACTCACTGTTACGACTAAACTCTACTGATAATGGATTATAGTTTCGAATCAAAACATACTGAGAAGCGTTTTGTTTTCTTTCATAGAGATAAGTGATGATATTCCCTGGTCGGATGTCTCGAAGTTCGGATAACTCAATATTTTTTTCTTGGTCCCATGAATATCGAGACAACGGTGCTTGACTGTATATATTAGAAGTTTGAATCCTCATTTCTGCTGTGGGGCGGTGGGGTAGCCTAGTGGTTAAAGCGTTCACTCGTCACGTCAAAGACCTGGGTTTGAATCCCTACATGGGTACAATGTGTGATGCCCATTTCTGATGTTTCCCACCATGATATTGCTGAAATACTGCTAAAAGCAGCATAAAACCCAGCTCACTCACTCATTCCTGCTGCAGGTTTCAAATCATCGGTAAGTCCCCTCCATAGTCAACCAGCCATGGTGTGCACTTGCCATGTCACAGCTGTTGTTATTGCTTGGAATGATCAAACAGCTGGGACAATATTATGTTTGATGGAAGACAATGTTTATTGAGTTGTCCACATGAAGCACATTCTTCCTCGTGCCTGACATTGAAACTGTTTTACTCAGATGTATCCAAATGCTATGTTATTCTTTTTTATATTTCTTGCATTTAGATGGCTTAAAATTAGTTAAAATAACCAAGCACTTACTGTTTTTACTGAAAACATAAAAACTCAAGCTTGACACCTCTGAGTCAAAGTTTTACTGTCCCTTCATATGCTTAATAAGTCATGCGACACGTGAAGATCCAGGTTATAATTGATCTTACGACCAGATGATGGTCGTAAGAAGCGATTGGGTGGTCAGGCTCGCTGACTTGGTTGACACATGTCACTGTATCCCAATTGCGTAGATTAATGCTCATGCTGTTGATCACTGCCGCCATTTAGATAGAATATTGCTGAGTGCGGCGTAAAACTAAACTCACTCACTCACTAATAAGCAATGGATCTTTCATCCAGGAAGAATTGTAAAGAAAACAGACAGGAGGGTGTGATTGTAGTACTGGTGTTATTTCAAACAATATAGAGACGTAAAAGCACCTCGGACAATGGGCTGTCAGATTCATACAGTCAGATGCATTAAAGATAAAATTCATTTCCTGAGCAAATAAATCTGGCAATCTGATGAGAAAGCAAGTAACTAAACTGTAACACAGATAAGGAATAGGAATGTATAAAATAAAATAAGATAAAATATATTCATTTTAATATGCTATTTACAAATAAGAAATATTTACAATGTGTAAAATTTGATATATAGGACAAGAGAAAACTTAATACACAGAAAACAACAATACTGCGAAACTTAGCCTTCTCCAGGGCTGTAGAATATTCATCCCTCCCCAACCTGGAGAATAGAATTTTTCTGGGGTTTTTTTAACGAACCGAAAATGTGAAAATTTATTTTTCAGAATTACTATTAAATGTTTTGCTTGTTTGTTGTTTAACAATTATTACTCAGCAACATTCCAGCTCTATCAACAGTTTCGGTGGGCCGAAAATACAAATGCTTTAATTTCAACTCATATCCATTATTTGTGTATAATTTATTTGCAAACCATGAAGTAAATATTAAAAAGAACCAAAATCTCAGTACTGGTGTATTAAGTGGTAGAGAGTGTGTGTGAGCGGTATTGTGATTTGAGCCCCTGTTAAGACAATTAAATCAGTATATTATCATTATCATCAATATTTTTACAAATTCCATCTGTACAATCATTTGATGAAATGACAATCAGGGGAATGTTCTTGCTACAATCAGAACTGTTCCAGCAACACAATCAGAACTATTCCAGTGACACAATCAGAACTGTTCCAGCAACACAATCAGAACTGTTCCAGCAACACAATAAGAACTGTTCCAGCAACACAATCAGAACTGTTCTAGCGACACAATCAGAACTGTTCCAGCTACACAATCAGAACTGTTCCAGCGACACAATCAGAACTGTTCCAACAGCACAATCAGAACTGTTCCAGCGACACAATCAGAACTGTTCCAGCGACACAATCAGAACTGCTCCAGCAACACAAGCGACATAACATGGAACTAAAATACGTCATGTACAAACTGATCTGGTCACACAAGACAAAACATCCACACAAACAAACTCAACACAGATGTATCAACATTAGATATCTCCTATCATTCAAACATTGTGACAAATAAGAATGGCACCAATTAAGTACCATATTCACCATAGTAAATGACCTGTGTCTCAATCCACAAAGCATTAGTAACGACCAATCTTAACCCTATTCTTTATCATAGGCTTATAGAGCTGTGACGATATATCGTAGTATCGATAATCGTGATACTTTTTCTGACAATAAATATATCGATACTTTTTTTTCTAGCGTATCGTGATATGTATCGTTGACCTTAAAATTATTAATTTTTACCAGAAATTGGCGGTTATGTCAAAATTTACACTGTTACTTGCTATCAAAATATACATTTTGAAAGAAAATAACTAAAGATAGCATATCATGATATGCATCGAATCGAATCGTATCGTTCCAAGATATCCAAATTAGTATCGTATCGAGATATTTCTGTATCGTCATACCTCTATAGGCTTATGAATGGCATGGAGCTACGGACATTTTGTGAATAGGGTCCCTGGGCACTAAGAAAATTGACAGTATACAAGAAGTTAAGGATCAAATAAAAGTGAATAAATTCTTTCTAACCTGGTAGTGACAGGTGAATAAAACAGTTATGGTTAATAATCTTTTAGATTCCCTTTTCCGGACAGTTCCTCTCCAAAAATAATGTGTAATATGCACAAGCAAATATGGTCAGGTCAAGTTTGTTTAGAAGTTACACAGGCACATTTTTGGAGAGGACACTTACTACAATGAATGTGGTATTTGTTTAAAACGGACATGTTTTTACATCAAACATCCACACAATCTTATTAACATTAAAATCTATAGGGTTTCCTTGTATTAAAATATTCAGATCTCTTAAAACCTAAGTTTGTTAAGCGAAACATTACGGAGACACAAAAATACATATCAGATTCTCGGACAAATAAAAGACAACAATAAAACTTGTATTATGATTCAGCTGTTTGTTAAAAATACAGAAACAGAACCTGGAATGCCGACATTTCTCACACGTAGATACGAGGACTGGTCATCTTGGATTCGGTATAATGTGTCCAGATGGCTTCCATGTTAAACTGTGACATGGAATCAAAGTCGACATGCGCTATAAAAATGTGATACGTCAAGACTAGTGCAAGCACTCAAACCCATGCATATGGCTGACTCTATATAAGGCCACATAAAATAAAATTATTGTTTCCGATCACTTTTTTTTTTTAAATATGGGTCGGATGGGCAGATTTTATTTTTACATTTTATTTTATTTTATGTCCCAAACCCCTTAATTTCAGTGGAAATTTACACCTTTTCTGAGATAGAAAATCGAAACTTAGAAGTGTAAAAATTCATGCACATTTTGAAGTCAAAGTTGCATTTTCTCTAGTGTAAAATATTTGTAAAAATCGAGTTTCAGGTAGAATTTTTGGGACGGGTGGTAATGAGAAACAAGAATATTTTTATGTATGGCCTAAGTGCAGTAAGACGCTCTTATACATATATACATATTATTCAACAGAAATTAATTACACTGCAACAAAACATGTATACATGAAACAAAACATGTACTGTGTAGTGCCCCTGTGGTATACAAGCAGTAAGGTTTAACCGATGTTCTTAGTAAGGCAATATTCCAGCAATTTAACCGATGTTCTTAGAGTATGTACAAGGTGGAGAAACACTACATAAGCACATGACATTGAATCACAATTCATCAAAATTCATCCTTTCTGCTTCTTAAACTTAAATTTAATGTAAGTTAAATTTAATATGCATAAAAGTTTTAGACATACAAAATGGTATGTCACATAGAGACATCTATACAGTCTATAGCTAAGAATGAATTCTGTTATTAAGCATTGATAATAATACCTATCATGTATAGTCTACTACTCACACTTTGCTAAGGATCACAAAAATGTACAACTTTACTTAAACATAGATTTATAATTTGAAATTGTATCCATTTAAAACTGGATAAATAATAATATGGTAACCCCACTTTAGGCAAACAGTCTCTTTAATCTAACCTTATGCACTTGATACATGAGTAACCATAAAAATGGTTTTCATGGCACCAATCAACCATTTAAAAAATCATGGAACGAGTCATTGACAAGTACACAACACGTGTCAATAGCAAAAATGACATACTGAAACCTAGGATCCATGCTTACAATAAGCTTAGATATTTAAACCAAATTTGACCCCACATAATAGTTTTCTGTTGAATCCATGATTTGATCCTTAGCAAAGTGTGAATAGTATGTTTAATATTATTATTTTCTTTTAATGATTATGCCAGTGTCTGCATTTAAGACGACAGAACAACAGATATCTCAGTATCTAACTGGTGTACATTCCTTCATCACTGCTGAGTGCGCATAAAACTAAACTCACTCACTTACTCACATATGGCCGCTTTGTGGTGCAGAAATGATGTGTCTATTTTTATCACTTAATGAATGAGAATTTTTAACTCACAAATGTGAAATGAGTCTGTGCATGATTTATAAACCTTACCATTGCCTCATACTGAAACATTGACGGTAAAAAGGCTATGGCACTGTTATGTGAGAAACATGGCACTATGCACAACTTTCCCTAGAAGGGAGAGAGACCAGCTGGATCATCCACAACCAGTGAATATCACATGCCGTATGAGAAAAATGGCTGTTCCTCTGGAGGGTGGAGATGCCATAAGAGGATAAGGCCCCATTTCACAAAGCAGTTGCAGAGATACGACTAGTCTATGGCACAGGTTGTACGAGAAATATGGCATTTATAGACTCTTTTCCTCTGGAGGGTGGAGACGCCATCCAGAGGATCAGGCCCCATTTCACAAAGCAGTTGCAGAGATACGACTGTTGTTTTGTGAAACGGTGCCCTGCAACTAGTCTATGGCACAGGTTGTACGAGAAATATGGCATATATAGACTCTTTTCCTCTGGAGGGTGGAGACGCCAACCAGAGGATCAGGCCCCATTTCAAAGAGTTACAATTGTTACAAGTCTGTTAAACTGTGGAACTTTTGACAGTCATACACTACAATCGCTTTGTGAAACAAGACCCTTTAAAACTAGTCTATGGGACAGGCTGTATGAGAAATATGGCACATATAGACTGTTTTACTTGGACGAGAGCACCAATGAACATCTATGGCACATTATATACGAGAAATATTACTGGTTGTGAGATGAATTCTGGAATCTCATTGGTCAATGCACTCGCTTGAATCCCCTTGATTCTGTTTGATTCAGTGGTTTAAATTTTGCATTCACACATGATGTCTGTATACAAATTTGTGAAGTATTGATGGAGGACAGTACAATACATTAATCTCATAATTCTCACACAGCATGGGTAAGGATGTTTCAGATGTTCCATCTAATAATTACTTTTTCATTTTTAGCATTAATAAATACAAACCTATATTGATGCTTTTCATCAATAAAACAAATCATGTGATGTTGTCATCAATAAAGACAACTTAATAGTGATGTTTTTAACAATAAATATATATTAATTGTGAGTACTTCCTCATTAAACTCTACTGACTGTTGATATTTATATAAATAAACACAACATTAATGTTATACATGTATTTTCATTAGAGGTGTGACGATACAGAAATTTCACGATACGATACGTATCGCGATATCTTAGAATGATACGATTCGATACGATGCGTATCACGATATGCTATCTTTAGTTATTTTCTTTAAAAAAGTGTATTTGATAACAAGTAACAGTGTAAATTTTGACATTACCACCATTTCTAGTGAAATTTCACAATTTTTAAGTCAACAATACATATCACGATACGAAAAAAAGAATCGATATATTTATTGTCAGAAAAAGTATCACGATTATTGATACTACGATATATCGTCACAGCTCTAATTTTCATCAACAAACACTTATTTCTATTGATGTTTTCATCAACAAACACTTATTTCTATTGATGTTTTCATCAACAAACACTTATTTCTATTGATGATTTCATCAACAAACACTTATTTCTATTGATGTTTTCATCAATAAACACTTATTTCTATTGATGTTTTCATCAACAAACACTTATTTCTATTGATGTTTTCATCAATAAACACTAATTACTGTGGATGTATTCATTAATAACCACCACTTAATGTTGACGTTTTCATAAATAAACACAGCATGATTCTTATAGTTTCATCAACAAACACGTATTCATATTGATGCGTTCATCAATAAACTCCAGTTAATGTTGATGTTTTCAACAATAACCACCACTTAATGATGTTTTTATAAATAAACAAATCTGTACATTCATGTTAAAAGGCCAGACCAACGTAAGTACTTGTTTTACAGATCAGCTGTTATTTAGACATTTTCATAAACACAAAACAGAAATTCGGGAAACAATTACGTCCAGTAAATTATGATTACAATTGAAGCAAAAGACTTTTTACAGAACAAGAAGAACCAGCATATTATGCACAATAAAATACAGCAATAGACACAGTACAGTAAAAATATGTCAATTTTATCCTCTTAAGAGCTGTTTATTATATTCTCCCCCATCTGCCTGTATTTTCTGGATATACATCTGTACAACAATAATAAAAATTGGTCTGGCATAAAATTGATTTAAAGGATAAATAAATATTGGGGAACCATATCACATCAATAACATAATTATGGAATTGGTTCAATCACAAAGATACACGTTGGAAAGCACTGTCACAAAAATGCCTTCCATGAAAGACACAAAGGCATTCAAATAAGTCACACAACCTGTTGCTAGGCAACCGTCTAGGGAAAGCTTTGTTACCGTGGAAACAAAGGATTCCCTCCAGGTCCAGGTATATCAACAACTGTCCTTGAAACGACGAAAAGAATCAGCGTCAAAATGCCAATCACAACTGTCATTATTCCAAGGGCGATGCCAGAAGCTTTGATGGAACTCTTAAACTTGGCTGGTCCAATGGTGGTGAGCAAAGCTCCACACAGCAGTAGGGTGAAGATGATGGACACTGTGGTGTTGATGAGTACGATGTCTCCAAACTTTGAAAATGGCTGGATCGTGGTTTGTGTGAGAGGTATAGCTGCAATGATGGTGGTGATCGCAGAGCTGATGATGGCGACACCGATATGCCGGAGTGCGAAGCTCGTCCTCCATGCTCGCCTCTCAGCATTTTTCTGTCAAAGACATAAAGCATTTCATCACAAAATGTACAATAAAAACTCAAGTCTGAATGATGTGAAACAATCTATTTTCTGAGGATAGTGGCAATATATGGATGAATAACTTCTTCTTTACAGCGAGAGTGATGTTACGGTGTAGCTTCATCACTTGCATGATAACAATGTTAGAACCCACACCGAAGCTTTGGTCTCACTGTAATAAAGAATTCGTTCACCCATACATTGTCATCCTTCCTTACTGCTCCAAATACCTCTCAAAGAAAGAAATTAAACTGTTCCCTGTTTGTCAGTTTGTTCAAGGTTTGTCAGCTCAGCGAGAAAGAAAACTATTAATCCGTTGATGCTTTTGTTTATATAACACCACAGAAATATAATTCCAACAGCAATAAATCATACAAATGATAAACACTGGCTCTACATCATTCTGTCCTTTGTGTGATAAAAGAAAGAGGAATGGAGTTAAAATTCTCAATCACAATATGCAGCCACAAGTTAACTGAAACACACATATAATGTCCCTATATCTAAAGAAGCATTCATAAAATATTAAAAATTCCCCTCAGGTTGTTCTCTGACATATGCTGTTTTAGCCATCATCCAACCAAATGAAGTACCATTTGTTAAAGATAACTCATTGCATTTACTTAAAGAGCAGCAAACATTCAAAATGTAAACAGAACACCTTCGTAAAGAGCAGATAACTCTTTTCATTATATGAAGTTACCTCCCTTTGATAATTACAAACAAGCTCCTTTCCAGAGCACACTCCTTGTTCTGCTCCTAGTAGATTTGAATAGAATCTACGTTTGTCTTATCAAGTTAAAACTTGATTCAACCTAAATGATAAATTTAACTGATCCCACCATGAGACTAACTTTAAACTTGTTAGTTACTGATGGAATAGATCCGATTTTTAACCATACCAATACATGATAACTGAAATGAGAAATTCAACTTCACAAAAAATGTGAATAATTTAGCTGCAGGGAAAAGTTTTCAGCATGTTGACTTGTTTGAAACATGGCAGATATTTGGTAGTGAGTTAAACTCCACACATGGTTGTGGCTGCGTATTACTGTAGGGAGCTGTTTCTGGCAGCAGGCTTCATACAGAGAGCTCTACATAAGGGCTACTGCTGTGTGGAGTTTATAACATACATTTCGACGACAGCATTAAACCTAATTTCAAGAATTCCTTCTTACCATTTGCGCTGCTTCTGGTATATGTTTGATGGCGATGATGTAACCTTCCACTAGATGAATGCAGTAGTCGACCGACGAGCCCACTAGTATCGACAATGATATGGCCTCCACCGCACCCATCTCCCAGCCTGCTAGGTAGAAGATGGCTACCACCAGGCAGATCATGGCTGCAACATGAAAACAGATGTCAGACGCTTGATCAGTGTGAACAGTTATATTCAACGCTGTTACGATTCGCTCGAATTCGTTGAATTGAACCATATCCCTTCATGATTTCTGTTGGTTATTCACGATCACTAGAATCTAAGTCATGATCAAGTGGTGTTACTTCGATTTGAATGTTATTTATCAAAACAAGATATGCTTAATGGAATATATCTACGCCAGTCACAATAATTGTTTACACCTTTTACTTGAGAGTAATGTGGTCACTGATGATTGTCATGATAAATTAATACTGTTAACGTCAAAACATATCAAATAATATATTTTGTTATTGTTTCACTGAATATACTGTATAATACATCAGCTGACTTGTTACTGTATTCGCTAGCCAATACTCATCTTCGTTACCCCTTATTCGTGAAATGCATCATTTTCATCTCATGGTGGATTCGTTTTAGCCCTAGTCATATTCAACATCTTTGATTTCTGCAGTAAATCATTCTTCCTCGTCACGCCGAAGGCCTGGGTTCGAATCTCCACATGGGTACAATGTGTGAAGCCCATATCTGGTGTTCCCCCGCCATGATATTGCTGGAATATTGCTAAAAGCGTCGTAAAACCCAACTCACCAAACTAAATCATTCTTCCACTCTCTGACCCACCTGTTATTGTGATGACCACGATAAACAGCAGACCAAGGTGTCCAGTAAATATCGCTATGGCAATGATGCACACAAGCATCGACAGCGCTAGGCCGTAGATGGCGCTGCTCACAGCCACGACCTCCATCATCACCTACAACAAGTAGCAGACATGGTACACTTAAACAACACAACACAAACATTATCAAACATACTCATTTATGCTTCTTTAGGTCTGAATTACATAATTTCTATAATTACAGATTGTATTGGTCTATATATACTCCCCATCAAAAGGTTAGACTCACTAGTGAAAATGTAGCCACTTACTTCAGTCAACTGTTCTAAACTAGATTTTGCAAAATATTCCATACTGTTTAAAGCTACTGTTTACACATGAACTGATGTATTGTAAAACAAATTAGTAACGTTGAAAAAATTATTGTCATGACTTCAATAAATGATGAAACTCAGTGAAAATTGGCGAATTCTTAACAAAACTTTACACCAAAACGCAGTTGTTCACATGCACAATATTTGCACAGGCTTTTCATCAATTTGATGCATGATCCTCATGCAATTCATCTGCATAAGGTTTGAAGTTGGTTCCCCAAATTCATCGATGGAACCACATACATATACATAGCATATAGTGAATGCTTTGAGTGAGTCTAAACATTTGATGGGTAGTATATTATACGTTTTTCAGCAACCGATGTTTGTCTAAGAGGCGACTAAAAGTATCAGGTGGTCAGGAGCACTGACTTCATTGACAAAACATGTCATCGTATCCCAACTGCGATCAATGATTGTTTTAGTCAATATGTAATAAGAATGAAAGTAAACCTCTAAGAAATTAGAGTGAGTGAGTGAGTTAATATTTAACGTCACATCGTCCTAAGAAATTAGATGTTAGGTTGACATAAGATTAATTTCTCTTGTGTAAAAATACACAACCAAAAAGATTGTAAATAAACATTTCCAATCAAAACCATTGCCAAATTTTGTTTCTATCACTATTGAATTCCTTCAAACATTGATGAATCATATGAATCATGTCTGTCAAATATAAGTCTTTGACATTCACTGTGTAAGACAACAACCTGGAGATTCACAAAGAGAGCACCAACCTTCTTCCAGAAATCTGACGCCTGGAACATGTCCTTGAGCGGTGAGTTGGGGCTCAACTTCGTCTGCTTGATCTGATCAATGAATGTCTCCCACTTCTGGTACTGCTTGTAGGCCTTGAAGTACGACATGCCCTTGGAAGTTGTCTGTGATGTGAAGAAAATGGAGTTTAGTTGACTGAGACCATTGCAGTGACATTACCCATAACGGTGGAAGGGTAGTATGAAATAACTATATTTCCATGCATGTGTTAGCGATTCTCAAAGCTGATTGGTCCATTGAAGTAATATAAGCTCATGGTATAAATCAGTCATCAAACTTGTGTGGTATCGTAATGAAATTTCTTTTTATCAAGGGCATGCTACCAATGGTGATAATTATCCAACCGTCATGATCAAAATCAGTAATCAAAGTTGTGTGATATCATAATTAAAAAGAAGATCAGTGATGTAATATTCACAGTGGTATAATCCCCCAATTATCACAGCCAAAATCAATTTTCAGTTGTATGATATTGAACTTTCAAAAATACCCAATGAGGGCCACACTACTAACGGTAATATAATCCTCCAATTATCACAATCAATGCCAGGTAATGTACTTTAAGACCACATGATCAGGGACGTTCTATGAATGTTGATAAAACCCTTCAATCCTGGACTACTTACAGATTCGAATGCGAAGGCCAGCCAGAGCAGGGTGTTGTTGGGCGTCATTCCTCCCACAGCTTGGATGGGGGCTTGAAACTTGCTGAATGAGCTCGACTTGGGCAGATCCTTACACTCAGGTACCAGTTGCAGCATCATGATGTAGGACTGGGGTATCACTGTCCAACACAACCTTAGTATTATGATATATGTGGTGTGGAATATATAATATAATTCATCATCACCATCGTCATCGTCGTCGTCATCATCATGATCATGATCATCATCATCACCATCGTCATCATCATCATCAACATCATCATCATCATCATCATCATCATCATCATCATGATCATCATCATCACCATCATCATCATCATCATCATCATCATCATCATCATCATCATCATCACCATCACCATCACCGTCGCCATCGTCGTCGTCATCATCATCATCATCATCATCATCATCATCATTGTTGTTATTCAGTTTAATTATTATTATTATTGTTGCGGTTTACAGATTAAAAATATTTTGCAGCAGAGAGAGGTCAGATGGTCCTGGCATTATCATAATATATTATTATTATTATAAGTGGTCGTGGTAGTAGTAGAAGTAATAGTAGTATCCAAATAATTTTTTAAGGATAGACAGTTTTTTTATTGCAACGTATGTGACGTTTCAGTGTAGATGCTAACACTGTTATAAAGTAAGTAGTTATAACAGTGTTAGTATCTACACCGAAACATCACATCCATTACATTAAAGATGCTGTCTATTCATAAAAATTCATCCTTGTTCATGATACCAGCTTGTAAATGCCACTTGAAGAAGTAATAATGGTAGATCTATAATTTATGATAACTCTTTAAAAAAACTACGCCTAAATATAAGGCCATGTTGCCATAGTTACCTGGAGGAAGGCAGTGTGCGCTGCCTTTCTTCACGAGCTCTGTGTTGGCTGCGATCAGCTTGCACACGGAACACAGCTCCTTTAAGACAGGGAGGGTCATTGACTTCTGGCTGAATCCTTTGTCAAATGTGGCACGACCCTGCAAGGAAAGATGTACTAACTGTACATTCTGAAGTCACATTTCTACAATAATTAAATTGGTTGTGTTAAGGTAACAGTTAACACGATTTGGGAAAATATGTCACTAATATCTGTGCTCGTCTCCCTGTTGAGATTGCTGAACCGAACATGCATTCAGTACCCCATGCCCATCACCTTGCAATGATTTCGCTCAAAAAACAACCCCAACTATCCTGCTCTTGTCTGTCCATTAAGGTCAGGTCTACAGTGGGGGCGGTGGGATAGCCTAATGGTTAAAGCGTTAACACTAGCTTCAAGATCTGTGTGGAACACCAACGCCCAAAAAGTTGTCAGGCCGAAGGCCCGAGTTCGAATCCCCACATGGGTACAATGTGTGAAGCCCTTTCCTGGTGTCCCCCGCGGTGATGTTGCTGGAATATTGCTGGAATATTGCTAAAAGCGGTGTGTGACCATACTCAGTCAGTCAGTCAGTCAGTCAGTCAGTCAGGTCTACAGTACCAAACATTTCTTAACAAGCTGTCATGTGTGTCATTGTAAACTGAACATAGCTCAGACTTGACTGTTAATAAATTTAACTTTAATTCAATATGTGAAATACAACATTCACTCACTCACTCTCCTGCACACCCACTCAAACTCACTCACCCAACCATCCACTAACTCACCCATGCAGCCACTCAGTGATAGAACAAAGCTGCTCACTCCAGTTCCCACTCACTCGCTCACTCACCCACCCACCCACCCGCTCACCCACTCACTCACTCACCCACCCATCCACTCACTGCCCCATCCACTCGCTCAATGACAAGACCAAAGGTACTCACAGTGTATTCACTGAGAACATGGCCCTTCTGCACATTGCTTCTATCCAGTCCTTTAATTCCGAACACCACGTACACCTTGGTCCCTGTCCGGATGTTTGGCCGTTCCTTCAGATCATTGCATTTGTTTCCACCACAAGCATTGAAGTTCTCCGATACAGATCCAGGCTTGACCGTCGACGGGTGGTCTGCAGATACAGTAACGTGAAATTATAACATAGTTACACACAGTATCAGTTATATTCGGACACTGTAACACTGTGTACTAGTATAATATATACCCTGGACCAATGCACCATTATAGCCTGGTTTTGAGTGTGATACGAATAGCTCTCCATTCACATTACAGTGATCTTTCTGACTGAAATAACGGGGATATCACCTGTTCTTTATCTGCCTTGATGTGAAGCTTTCCAGCCAACGTTTCATTGCTAAAGTCTTCTGATTTGATTAAATCTATACCAGCATTTTGACAGTGGATATATGCCACAATTTTGAAAGTGGATCTATTCCAAAATTATGAAAGTGGATATTAGAGATTTTAATGTGGATCGATGTCACAAATTCAGAAAAGGCATTTTGATTATTTGACTGATTATTGATTTCGTTATAGATTTATTGATATTGAAGAGTAATGAAAGTGCAGTGGTAGGAGAGTTGGAGATGAAGCTATTACAGTGAAACCTGCCAACACCGGCACCTGTCTAATCTGGCATAAAATTTTGGTCCGGCCATTTTACAACGATATTATGATCATTAAAATATTGTCTAATCCGGCACCTGTCAATTCCGTATTCCGGCATGACTTTCCGGTCCCAACAAGCAAATTTAACTGTAATTACCACTGTCTAAACCAGCATGGGTATTAACAGTCCAATTAAGGACCCATAATCCAATACACTAATTAATCCTCTTGGCACGCTAGATAATCAGGAAGTAGTGATTGCGCGGTGAATCAAACGCTCTAAGCCGGCATGGGTATGAGCAGTCCAATCAATGTCCCTTTATCCAATGCACTCCTCTCGGCACGCTAGACTGAGAGACTGACGAGTGTGAATGGCAGCCATGTTGGAAAATGCTCGTCACTGTCTAATCCGGCACCCTGTCTAAATCGGCATTTTATTTCGGTCCCATGGGGTGCCGGTTTAGACAGGTTTCACTGTACTTCCTGAGTGTACTGTGTACCATAGCAGAATGAAAATATGACACAGTGGATAAAAAGGCTTTTGACCAAGTCTTTTCAACACAGACATGTCGCCATGCTTGGCAGCTAGCCTCATGAGCGTCTCTAGGACTTCAGTCCTTCCCCTGCTTGGCAGCTAGCCTCATGAGCGTCTCTAGGACTTCAGTCCTTCCCCTGAACATTGCACATGTTGTTAGTTTAGTTTTGTTTTACGCCGCATTCAGCAATATTCCAGCTATATGGTGGCATTGCACATGTAACACATGTGGTGTCCCCTTAGGTAAGTGACCTGCCTTTGTTCACCCTGCAGTGAATGGGTACCAGGTGGGATGAGACGGTCATATGACATTTAACCTTCTAGCGCATCACGGGCAGCTTGACCAGGGTGATGATGTTAGTTCTTTGTGCATACACCTTGTGAATCAGTGAATTCGTTTTACGTCATATGGCGCTGGGTCTGTAAATAATCGAGTCTAGACCTGACAATCCAATGATCAACAGCATGAGCATCGATCTACGCAATTGGGATACGATGACATGTGTCAACCAAGTCAGTGAGCCTGACCACCCGATCCCGTTAGTCGCCTCTTACGACAAGCATGGGTTACTGAAGATCAGTTCTAACCCGCATGGGTTACTGAAGATCAGTTCTAACTAACAAGCATGGATTACTGAAGATCAGTTCTCACCCGGATCTTCATGAGTCACCTAATGAATGATGTTAGTGTTAGTACACACATGATCAAAACACCCCACTATACCACTGATGAAGACACTCACCACTATAAGGATGGTGAGGTTGAATGTGTGGATGGTAAGCTGGCCTATGTGTAGTAGTAGTCGTTGTTGTTGTAGTAGTTGTTGATGTTGTTGTTGTTGAAGTAGTTGGTTTAGATGATGTTGTCGACGATTTTATACCTTTAGTTGAGGGGGGAAAGTTTGGAGCTCTTGGTGTAAGTGTTGTATGCCCAATAGGCATGTTGGTCGCAGGAGGTCTGGGGGTTGGGCAGGGGCTTGGGCTGGGGGCAGGGCTGTCGGGTTTACTGCTTTGGATGGCTTTACCTGAAAAATCAAATTTTAGATTTCATTATACCAAATACTCCACAAAGCCACAACATCAAGAAACAGGAAAATCTAACAACACTGTCCATTTTAGCCAAGAATTTGGCTCTAATCTGCTCCATATTCAACATAGGGTCAACCAAGCACATACATGTCCCTAACTAACATTGAGCAGTATGTCTCAAATCACTGAACCTGGCCACCTGATGAATTATAATGTACCACAAGCACAGATTACTGAGAATCAATTTTAGACCTCCCCCCTCCCCGTGATGTGTCAATGATGGAAGTTGGTGGTGATTATTATAATAATGATAATTTGGATGCTAAAAAAGATATAACAAATATACTGAATGCAAAAAAGTTGGGGGGCATGAAATATATTTTGCTTTTACATACTTTTGAATAAAAGTGCCCCTTCTAGAATATTCATGATCCCTTTTTATTGATGATGAGTGAGTGAGTTTAGTTTTACGCCGGTATTCAAGATGATGATGATGATGATGATAGGAAACATTATGATGATGGTCAGGATCATAAAATTATTGATCATAATATCCCTATGAAACATTGAGCAGTATTTTATATTGTTCGTACATTATAAAGAGCAGAACACTTGTAGCAGCTGAGAGACTCCAGCATGCTGAAGTTGGCCTTGAGGTCAAGCAGCTGTTGCAGGTTGGTGTTGGGCTTGAACAGCTGTGGTGGGTGTGTCGCCGGACGCAGCTGGACCATCAGACAAACAGAGCTAATGAGCATCACTGTGAAAATTCCTGAAGAGGAAGAATAATATATGAAGGAGATACGAAGAATTATACACAAGGGTGTGTCATGTTGATTCAGCAGGTTGTTTTTTCTTGACAACATGCAGAGTTTGGCGATATGATACTGACAACACCCCTGAAGATAAAGAATAATACATGAGGGAGATATGAACTATTATACCACAAGGGTGTGTCGTGTTGTTACAGGTTGATATTTTTATAAACAACTAGTAAGCTACATGCAGGTGTGTCACATTGTTTCAGTAGGTTTTGCTTATTTAAAAAACCCAATATGCATACATACAGTGAGTTTAGATGATTCAATAATAAGAGGCGTTAGTTTTGCACTATTGTCCTCCATTGTACTTTTTAGCTCCAAGGCTGAAAGTAAGTTTGCATAGCTCAATATTTTTATTTGCAGAAAGATGTTTGGGGTGGCCTATTTAAAAAAAGAATTACTAATAAAGGTAGGATGTTTAGTATTTTAAAAGTAACATAGACACATTTAGGGTCCAACTTTGTCTTTTATACAGTTCCTGAAGCATATTATTTCCCAAAACTCACTGACCCATTGTCCAATCAAACTGTCCAACTCACCGATGAGGACGTATCTCCCCTTCAGTATCAGTTTGGCCAGGTACTTTCCAATGAGAATTTGGAGCGCGCCTTCCCGATGTATAAGCTGTCGTTGGAGTCCGCCGCCGATGCTGCCGACTGGTTGCCGATACTGTAGGGGTCGGGGATCAACATGGGAACATCCCCATCATCGTCAGCTATGGTGTTCACCGGTGCTGTAAGACAAATTGATGTCTCAGTACAGTGAGCTTGCAGGTCAACATAGAATTAACAGTAGTGTAAAGTGCTTTTCAAATGATACATTTTGCAATATATTGGTGTGTTTCTGTATACATGTTATTCAGTAAAAAATTATGAAACAAGTTTCATTATTATTTATATCATAAAAGTACAGATTCCAGTAAGTTTGGGGCTTCAAACTCACACTTTCAGAGTGAAACACCTTATCAGCAGCACATGAAGTCAGCGATCTAACCCACTCAGCCAGCACACCACTGTAGCAGTGTATTTACCACAAGTAGACTTCTCAGTGAGATGATTATATTACCGATGTGTGATGTTCAAGATCACATTGTTTTCCATATACTGGTTAAAACTTAACTCTATTATGGGTAATATGTAATAAAGCATACAATTTTATAGATCACAACTTCTTGTTTATTGGACAGAGCTACGTTTCGGTGTAAGTTCTTACACCATGTTCATGCTAAAAGTCAGTGAATAAACTGTCTGCCTGTGTCAGTCTGTCTGTCAGTGTGTGTGCGTGTGTGTGCATGTCTGTGTTTGTCCTTCTGTCTGTGTTATTGTAAAGGGAACACCTAGTATAAATCCACCCTACTCATTGTGCGCAGAAACTCAGGAAATGTTCTGACAATGTATTTCTTGAAATGTTTAGGCACTTCTTTGAGGCTGACAAATGAAAATTCAGTTGTTATCTATAAAGTGTGTCTGTCATGGAAAGCCATTAAACGTTTAAAAACATTATTCTAAACTTTACTTTTGTTATCGTTTGGCAACCTGTAAACAACAGAAGGCATTGCTGAAGTGTACTCAAGCACACACACCAAACAGTGATAACATCTCGAGGGAAGACTAACAATTATCTCTCCAACCATAAAACAACTTTTTCTCCACGTTTAATGTATGTAACACAAAGTAAACTATCCGTGTCCAGGGATGTAAAACGTGTCGACATATCTGATCCAACCTGTCTGTGATTCAATGTGTTCATGGAGCATCAGTGATAGATGACTGTGTGACAGTTTAGGGGACTTCACTGAACATGTTGAAACAATGTTGTAACCTAACACACACTGTGAGATGTTACTACCACCCGCCATCTTGTTTTTGAGCAGACTATTGAGTTAACATTCAAAGTCACATGATTTGGGGTCTACACTGAAATGTATTGTTTCGTCACATGGTGTGGATTAATGGAGGATAATTAATAAATAAAGGTTGTATCATGATGTGACTAATCAATCAACATGAACCCATCCGTATCCATCAATGTGAACCCATCCTTATCCATCAAAGTGAACCCATCCTTATCCATCAAAGTGAACCCATCCTTATCCATCAATGTGAACCCATCCTTATCCATCAAAGTGAACCCATCCTTATCCATCAATGTGAACCCATCCGTATCCATCAACGTGAACCCATCCATATCCATCAACGTGAACCCATCCATATCCATCAATGTGAACCCATCCGTATCCATCAAAGTGAACCCATCCTTATCCATCAACATGAACCCATCCGTATCCATCAACGTGAACCCATCCATATCCATCAATGTGAACCCATCCGTATCCATCAATGTGAACCCATCCGTATCCATCAACATGACCAGGTTTTCCCCCTGTACACACCTGGAGCAACAGCGTTGTCGATGTGGAGCATGGGCACATCATCGTCTAGACCGGGGTTGAGGACGGTAGGGTTCGGAGCCTGCTGCAGTTGCTGGGCATCGAGGGGGTTGACCACACGCCTTCGTAGTCTACAACTGCATCTGCAACAACATCGGAGAGAGTGCCATAGTCAAGAATAGTTCCTAGATTTAACAAATTTCTTACAGAACTGATGATTTCTACAACAAAAACATTGCCACTTGAAGGCTGAGTGTTAGAGAGCGGTGTCTTGTGGTTAAAGTGTTCAGTTGTCACACCAAAGACCCAGGTTCGAATCCCTACATTAATACAATGTGTGAAGTCCATTTCTGTTGTCTTCAACATGGTATTGCTGGAATATTGTTAAAAGCAGCATTGAATGTAACTGGGCGGTAGCCTAGAGGTTACAACGTTCGCCTGTCACGCAGAAGACCTTGGTTCAGTTCCTCACATGGGTACAATGTGTGAAGCCCAGTTCTGGTGTTCCCCGTCGTGATATTGCAGGAATATTACTAAAAGGCATTAAACCATACTCACTCACTCAACTAAATATGAGTGCAGCGTAAAACCAAATCTCATTCACTCACTCACTCAAACTTAACTCACTCACTCCCCTGACTGACTACTTACAGTGTGAAGAAGAGCCTCTCACACTTGGAGAAGCAGATGACCCAGAGATACAGGGCTGGCGGCATGATGAGGATGACAGTGGCCCAGCAGGAACTGACAATCAGGGACATGAACAGCCCGAACTCGTACACAGCCGGGATCTGAAACAATACATCAGTGTTTGCCGGCTATATTCCAGTAAATATGTTGTCCCTAAAGCTTGCTTTATATTGTACTTCCAGGTTCTAAAATGCCACTGAAAGAAGTGATCATGAGTTGTGAATTTGTTGGTTTGGGGTCCTCTCAACAATGTAGTGATTTCCTAACAACCAGTAACAAGAAAGATACTAGATTCCACAAAACTGTGGAATATAAATTTTCAGTATTATTATCATTATTGTAAAAACTATATTTTCAATCTCATCATACACCTTGATAAAGATATACTACATATATTTTTTCTGGCATAACGGATGAGGCAACAAAGAAAATGTCTGGTAGTGAACTGTTTAAACGATCACATCACTATGGACTCACAGATGATGCAATGTTCGCTGCAAATGCTGCCGCAGTTGTCACTGATGTGAAGAACGTTGCCTTTCCTGCAGTCTTGACGGTGTACCACATCCGATCAGAGTTCACCTTGAAATGACTGGCTTGCCGGAATATGTTGACAAACACAAACACATCGTCCACTCCTGTAACAGGAAGAGTAGCTTACTCACTCACCCAAACATAACAAGCCTGGGTTACAAGGGACCTACTCTTTCTTGGAATCACTAAGGGGAGACAATCAAGGGGTACTACCTACCTAGTCTATCCAGTGTGTGAAATAGTTAACAAATTTTGCAAGCCTCTCGGACTAGCTATGCCTGAAAGCTATGCCTGTCAGGCTAGCTAAGCCTGAAAAATAATTCACTAGCCCGATGATTTAAAAGTGTATTATAACTTAATAAGTCAAAGAGCTTGGTATCTAGATGACCCCATGAAAATTAACTAGCCAGTTGGGCCAGTGACTGTGGAGATTTACTGCCCCAACTTGATTTTTACTTGCCACAGGCTAGCGGGCCAGTGGCTATTTTGCAAAATGTGACTATCGCAAACTTCTTACAGGTAGAGGGCAGTGGGGTAGCCTAATGGTTAAAGCGTTGGCTCGTCACGCCGAAGACCCGGGTTCGAATCCCCACATGGGCACAATGTGTGAAGCCCATTTCTGGTGTCCCCCGCCGAGATGTTGCTGGAATATTGCTAAAAGCGGCGTAAAACCAAACTCAGTCAGTCAGTCTTACAGGTAGAAGAACATTGGGTACTGGCGGTATGCCTGTATCTCCAAAGGGAGACTTGAGGAATCCCTACAGAAAGCAATACATCAGTACATGGGACCTATGAAGTCCTGTGGACATGTTCTGCTCCGCAATTCCATTAGGATGACAAGCATGGGTAAACAGGGACACTTTCTGGCTGAAATTCCTTGATCAACCTAATTTGAACCTCAGTGGGGAGACAATCATGAATTCAAGGTCTGGAATGCTTCTGTGAACTCTTACCGATCCCGATGATGACGAAGGCTGCAGCTCCGTTGAGGATGCCAAGTGCGTCAATGTGGAAGATGCGTCTGTAGAAGAAGAGGGCGAGGGGGAAGCTGAGGATGATGCTGAGCATCCCCCAGAAGGTGAGCCAGACGGAGAAGGAAGTGAGGATGAACATCAGCAGGATGATGAAACCCAGGGTGAAGTATGCCATCTTGATGTCGTCCAGAACGTCATGTCCACCTCGTAGTCGAACAGCTCATTTCCACCGTACAACACCTGGACCTTACTGTGAGGTAAAGAAATGAGGGTATTAAGACATAATTAAGTAGCATGTGTGTTGGGGGATTTGGACAAACATGGTATAGGCCAGTATTTCAGTTATATCAGTTTGGGTTTGGGAGGGTGGTGGGGGTTAGCTGCAACTTCAGTGCAATCAATAATCATTGACCACAATTTTCTTAATTTGGGCAGAGAACCAACAATGTGAGGACATTCTGGTTAAGGGAGGCAACTCTAGCAAATTGTGTTGCTTCAAACCACTGAAAACTACATATTGATAAGCAATAAAGCATATCATGTTTCACCTCCTACATGTTAACTCTAACTTCATGGCACCCTGATGCATTTGGACATTTCACCTTTGTGAAGTCTTCCATGACAGTAAAACTAAAGCAAAATAAAATGTCTTAACCCCTAAAGCAGCAATATTTATCTCCCATATTACAAGCAGTACATAAAGATCATATCTCTGTTGATATTGTTCTAACAGGATCTCTAATAACAAAACAAAACCATACAACATTAATATATAACATGTTTTATCAACCATACACGACTATTCATACACTTAAAATATATCCCTGTGAACAATTTTAATGCCCATTGTCGACAAGTTTTACTCTTCAAAATGTTTCCATCTTTATTGTATAAATTGTTTTTGTCACGATATGGCTGAGACATTGCCGATGTGACGCTAAATATTAACTCACTCACTCACATAAAACATATCCAGCCTATGTTAATTCCATTTGTTATCAACTCCACAAAACAACATGACCATGAGATATTGCCGATGTGACGCTAAATATTAACTCACTCACTCACTTAAAACATATCCAACCTATGTTAATTTCATTTGTTATCAACTCCACAAAACAACATGACCATGAGATATTGCTGATGTGACGCTAAATATTAACTCACTCACTCACTTAAAACATATCCAACCTATGTTAATTCCATTTGTTATCAACTCCACAAAACAACATGACCATGAGATATTGCCGATGTGACGCTAAATATTAACTCACTCACTCACTTAAAACATATCCAACCTATGTTAATTTCATTTGTTATCAACTCCACAAAACAACATGACCATGAGATATTGCCGATGTGACGCTAAATATTAACTCACTCACTCACTTAAAACATATCCAGCCTATGTTAATTTCATTTGTTATCAACTCCACAAAACAACATGACCATGAGATATTGCCGATGTGACGCTAAATATTAACTCACTCACTCACTTAAAACATATCCAACCTATGTTAATTTCATTTGTTATCAACTCCACAAAACAACATGACCATGAGATATTGCCGATGTGACGCTAAATATTAACTCACTCACTCACTTAAAACATATCCAGCCTATGTTAATTTCAATTCCATTTGTTATCAACTCCACAAAACAACATGACCATGAGATATTGCCGATGTGACGCTAAATATTAACTCACTCACTCACTTAAAACATATCCAGCCTATGTTAATTTCATTTGTTATCAACTCCACAAAACAACATGACCATGAGATATTGCTGATGTGACGCTAAATATTAACTCACTCACTCACTTAAAACATATCCAGCCTATGTTAATTTCATTTGTTATCAACTCCACAAAACAACATGACCAAGCTAGTTTGTGAACATTGTGGAACATAAAATGAAATAGTATGGTCTGATATTGATTATCCACAGACCATGCACTTTACGACATCCACACTGACAGCGTTCCCAGGGGAACGCCACACAAACAGCAGCTCAAAATATATGGCTGTTCAGGAAAATTATATTCCCTGTCAAAGAATCTTGAGATCAAACGTTGGTCCATATCTGATCTTAATGCTCGCCTCTCATTCAGGTATTTGTATAACATCTACTTTGTCAAGAAGTTGACTGATACCCAGATTATACTAGTACATAGTCACACCTCATTGGTTCCCACCTGACCGTTGAAGGTGGGGCATCGATTACTAAGATGAGATACAAACTTCACAGATGACATCTTGTTTACTGTATAGGGTGCAGGGTCAGATAAAGCTTTTAGAGATTCTAACAAGAGAGAGAGAGAGAGAGAGAGAGAGAGAGAGAGAGAAGAGAGAGAGAGAGAGAGAGAGAGAGAGAGAGAGAGGGTGCACACTCTTGAGAAAGGAGGGGGGTGCACACTTCATTTTCACCCGTTTCACTTTCAGGACAAAAGGGGGGTGCGCATCCCAGGAGTGCACCCCCATCTGTATCCACCTATGGAGCGACATTTCGGTGTAGATTCTAACGCTGTTATCAAGATACTTTGAGCTTCATCTTGGTGTAAGAATGTACATTTAAATGTTGTTCTATGCAATAATCAACAAGTTCTCATCCATAAAGTGGTATGTTTCATTTTTTACTGAAAAATTTAAAATATTGGTTGCAAAATATGGGTCTTTTAAATTAATATGACAGCTGCCTGTAAATGATTAAGTATTGGCCAGATAATCCAGTGATTGACATTATAATATTGATCTATGATAATGTTATATGATGACATGTGTCAACCAAGTCAGCCAGCCTGACCACCATACCCCACGACTTGCTTTTTCCAACAAGCATGAGTTACTGTGAATAATGGCATTATAAAGTTTGGATAAATTTTTAATTCCAGCATCTTTCATCAATATATATTGAGGACAAGGCATTAGAATTGGTTTCCTATCGTCTCCACTAACCAACATGAAACATAATACATCCAGTGTGTTATCTGGTGCTGGTGCCAATTGTGCTTAGTGGAACTGTATTGGATATTTCTTACAACCCCTAGTTATGAACATAGGGTGTTCTAATTTGTGTACAATACAACCCTGAGCATTTATTGGAAAACTATTTCTGTTTTAAATGATAAATGAAAAAATAATAGAATATTTCCCAAAAATCCAGTTTGTAAAATAAAGACTACTGACATATAATGCGAAAGAAGAAAAGATTTTCATGTCCCAAAATAGGAATTCATTTGTTTAACCTTTTGTACAGGGTGCAACTTAAAGACATACTTCCTAGTGGGGACTTCAAAGTCATAACACGAAGATCTATTTTGGAAGGCATGACACGCCATGAGAAGGAAAAACTGTGAATTTACCAAGGAAGCTGACAAGGGAGTGACTGTTTGAGCCATCAATGACCTCAAAAACACTGATGTCAAAGGTCAAAGTTCAGCAGGTGATCTGCCTCCAACCCCATGACCCTATCCATCAAATGTCAGACATTCTCCACACAACAGGAAGAGCGGTGACACAACATTCAGTCAGGTCAAGGCGTGTGTGCTAATATTTTTGGGACCTGCCCTTGCCGCAGCAGATCAATGGGTGTTTTGTAACTAAACTGATGCTGGCTCTCTCTCCAGGGAATAGCTTGGTTAAGATTATTGTTGACGTAAACAAATAGTTTCCAGATAAGTACACATTATGACACACCTGGGTGGAACTGAAAACCTATGAGGGACTTTACAATGACTCAGGCTAATATTTTGTCCCAAAAAGAAAATGTTCCATTTTGAAAATACATACCTAGAAAATGCAGTTTTAATCAAAATGAAGCCAGAACAATGCTTAAATTCAGGATCTGAGACAATCTAGATTTGCCAAATTATACCAAGATTTCATTTGGGTTTCATAGTTTCTCATATATTTTCTAAGGTCTGGGGGACACCAAAATGATCTGTGAGTGAGTGAGTGAGTGAGTATGGTTTTATGCCACTTTTTAGAAATATTCCAGCAATATCACCGCAGGGGACACAAGAAAATGCTTTAACCACTAGGATACCCTACCACCCAAACTGATCTGTCTTTCATGGTATTACTACAATATCTTTCATGGTATTATTACAATATATATAGACAGATATTTGTCTTCCAGAAGAATCTTAATACAGCGTTCCCATAGAAACACTAAACAGTGAGTGAGTGAGTGTATAACACTAAATGTGGGATTCAAACCTTCTTTCTGTTGTTTCTTTCTTTCCTTCAGTGAGTGAGTGAGTGGATTTTAGCAATATTCCAGCAATATCACAACAGGGGACACCAGAAAAGGGCTTCACACATTGCACCCATGTGGAAAATTGAACCCGGGTCTTCGACATGACGAAGCGAACACTTTAACCACTAGGCTACCCCTCTCCCCTGCTGTAGAGACCTATAGCATTACCGTTCGCTATAGTATTACAGTAATGGCTGTGTGAAAGGGAATACAACGTGGTCAGGGATTGTAATACAAACCTCTGCAACAATCAGACCACAACGAACAATGGCACACTTATCACTGCACACAAGCTTACTATAGACAACTAGTCTGTCTCACAGTCCCTGAACTTAACTTTTTTATCCTCTCACTAGTCTGTCTCACAGTCCCTGAACTTTAAACTCTTTCATTATTTCTTTTTTTAACAAGATTCATACCTACACTAGGTACAGCCTGACACCGATTCCTACTCGGTATTGAAAGTTATCAATATCATTTTTTATACTAGAGTGGAAATGTGTATGGTCAATGATGAGTGAGTGAGTGAGTGAAGGGGTGAGTGAGTGAGAAAGCAGAGAAGAGTGAGTGAGTGAAGGGGTGAGTGAGTGAGAAAGCAGAGAAGAGTGAGTGAGTGAGTGAAGGGGTGAGTGAGTGAGTGAGAAAGCAGAGAAGAGTGAGTAAAGGAGTGAGTGAGTGAGTGAGTGAGTGGCCTGGGCGCTTACAAAACTGAGGATCCTGAGGCTGACTTCATGATCAATGATCTGCGTTATTGAGTAACATCAACCATGTCAGCAAGCTAGTCACCTCTTCTGGATCTTCAAAGGGGAGAGTGGTCTAGCTGCTTTATCAGGGATACTTATTGGTTTTGTGTTAAATTTGCTGATTGTGCCAATGCTCCAATCATTCAAGTCTGTAAATGACATGTTTCAGAAAGTGTACTAGGTATGCCGCCTCTCAAATTTCTACTGACAGCCAACCGCTGAGCCATTCATGAGACTTGCTATCTAACCAATGTCACATTGCAGCTCTATGAGGACAGCCGCACCGAAAGTTCATTTACATCACACTGTCCCTGACATATAACATTGTAACTGACACAACGAAGGCTATCTTCTACCACAACCACTGTCTGCTCATTTACAACTACCTGCTCCTGATACACGTAAAATGTACTTAATTACAGTAATTAATACTGACAAGAACCTTCTCGTACTTTGGTTGAAAAATATTTTCGCAGAGTCAGCTTGACATTCAGAGGCCCAGATAAGCTGCGTATCCGGGTAAAATACCCATATAAAATTTCCAATTACACATTGAAAAATAATTGTTGCATACCAATTACGCATTTAAAATGTTAGATATGCAAAAAGTTTAAAACAAATGCGTATGGAATATATTTATAAAAATCGCTTTCGTAATGAAAAAGACATCGATTGCTATCAAGTTTTATTACCCACGTGGTCAACGTATGGGTAGTTGCATACTAATCTCGTACGTCACACGAGTGTCGTATCGCGTTGACCTGTGTCGTAACGACTTGACCTGAGATTCTAACAATAACCAATGACCTCTTAATGAGGTCACATTCTGACGTAACTATTTTTTCATTCTTAACAAACACGTGAATTCATTCATTCTACAACTTAAATGCATTGTGGGAATGTAAACATTGCGAACGTTGCCGTGTCGCTATTTAATTATGAGTCGAACTGAGACATTATATCCGTCGAAAAACATAAACAAAGGGATCGTGACGTCGGTTACCAAGGCAGTGACGTCATTATAGTGTGACATCATGCAAATATTGTACTACAGTACAAACTCTTCCGCAACCTCTTTATGAAACCGGTTTCGGTTTGAAACCATAAAAATAACAAAAATACGCCATTTTGTCAATTTAATGCATGTAAGACGTGGGTAATAAATAAAATACCACACTCGGTCTCATTACATACAAATTATACGAAACTCGTGACCTTCCTATGGTATCTGACCTCGCTTTCGCTCGGTCAGATACCATAGGAAGGACACTCGTTTGGTATAATGCGTATGTAATGAGACCTCGTGTAGTATTCTCTATGTACTGTTAGTATAGGACAAGTGTTGTACTGTCAGTATAGGATGAGTGATTTTTGATGAAATCATTTCCATTATATTTAAGTTGGTTTTGAAAAGGTATGATATAAGGCAGAACATACCTGCTTAGTAAACTTACTCAATGACATATATTTAGGTGAGTAAAATGACACATATTTGAAAGCAGTGGGTAATGGAAAATGAAATACTCACTCAACATTCATAATATCCACTCCAAAAAAATACAGTGGGTACAGTACCCACATGAGCTAAATCTTATCTCGAGCTCTGACATTATTCAGGTGTAAATAATAATAACCTTTTCATGACACACAAAGCATAGATACAATAAAAACTTCATTTAAGTCAGTCAAGATTACGGTAAATGATATTTGTTCTGCATTAATACAATTCACAAAATACTTCAGTTTGTTTTGATATAATTCAAAATATGCATTTTGCATGAATATAATTCCCAATTGGAATCATTTTGTATAAATACAATTCACAATCTGCTTCATTTTGACTGAGTAGGTTAGACGGCTATCTTTGCATGCTGGCAATTAGGTTGCATACAGAAAGTGTGGGTTTGAATCCTTCATGGGACTCCCCCCAAAACAGTACTAGAATCTTTACTGAGAAAGCGTAACCCCAAATATAACATATTTTGCTTATTTTGCCTCAATACAATTTTTAAAAAATCCTTTTTTTTCCACACATTTGAATTCTCATGCATCATTCCGTATTGATGCAATTCACAGTATGTCTCATATTGTATCAATACAATATAGAACATGTTTCATGTACACTCCTAAGATATCAATAAACTTTTGATGACAAAATGCGAGGAAATAGTCTACCTTGTAAAAGTATGTCAAAACAAGTAAACAACATCCCAATATTACTCGATGTATTAACAATGGATGACTATCATCATAAGGGAGGTTGGGTAGCCTAGTGGTTAATGTGTTCGCTCGTCACCGAACACCCGGGTTCCATTCCCCACATGGGTACAATGTGTGAAGTCCATTTCTGGTGTCCCCTGCCGTGATATTGCTGGAATATTGCTAAAAGTGGCATAAAATCAAAATGGTCTGTATGTGTCATGGCTTTTGTTTGATGTATCATTACTTCAATTAATTTTAATGTTCTTCCTTAATTGACATACAGAAATGAGTAAATGAGTAAAATCAGCAATATCTGTGTCATCTCGCAAAATGACATATTTGAAATATTTCCTGTTTGCATATCAAGTCACACAAAGACACCGTGTAACTGTCGGCCTCCTGTCGGCCCCCTCAGCTACTATGACGCTAGGGGTGTAATAACAATCTTTTCAAAATGGTCCTATATATCATAGCGTCAGCTGACAACAGCATGTCACGCTGACCCAACCTGACTCAGTGTCGTGTATATACATCGGCTATGGTATATTACAGTCACAAAAACTCAATAAAAATATGGTGGCTTGTAACTTGGTTTACCTGCATGACAGTATATTTTATTATCGGCTTATCACTGCTATAACTCTGTCTGTAGTCATATGCCAGAAGACTGTAACATTTAGGAGACATATGACCCGGATATGCGTTATCATTTGCATGTAAAAGTGTTCTTGCATTGTTGGAGGTTTGAAATGAAGAAAAATTTGGGCAGTCACGTTTACATGCAAGGCTGAAAACGATGTTTATTGATGCTTTAAATATGTAAAGTTATTAGAAATGTTTCAAATTATTGTCTTGAGGCATGATGTCAGTCGGGAATACTATGAAGCCGTGATTCCATCACAACTGAATTTTTTTTAAGAAACTCATTTTCAGTGCTCCTACTCCCACTTTTCAATGTCTTCATAACAAGTGTCTGCCACTAATATGGCAATGTCTCCCACCGCTAAAGGAGAATGAAATAGTTACTGCCTTATATTTTTTGGTCACATACAAGATGCCTGAAATGACTGGTGTCTGCATAATCACCCAATGTAGGCTGTCGACATAATTGAAGACATTGGGTGCAATGGAGTGAGTGAGTGAGTGAATTTAGTTTTACACAGCTGTTATCAATATTCCAGCAATATCATGGCGGGGGACACCAGAAAAGGGCTTCACACATTGTACCCATGTGGGGAGTCAAACCCAGGTCTTCAGTATGACGAGCCAACACATTAACCACTAGGCTACCCCTCACGATTTCAGAAGATTTAGAAGGACAACACATTATGACCAAAAACTTGGGTAAGGTGAGCTACAACAGTTCCAGCACAATGACCTTCTCTCACCAACTACCAATATTAGCACACGGTCACCAACTCCTCTCCCTAACTACCAGTGTTAGCACACGGTCACCAACTCCTCTCCCTAACTACCAGTGTTAGCACACGGTCACCAACTCCTCTCCCTAACTACCAGTGTTATTACTATTGATGTCGAGATATCATTGAACCACGCCAGATCACGGCCAGCTATTCCCTTGTCAGATGAACAAAGAAATTCCCATAATGCGTGGGTCTATTCCAGCACTGTAAAACAACAGGTGCTTGATTGTCCAGAATGAGGTTGTTTCAAATGCTCAGAGCATATGATGGCATTTTACTGAGCTGAACTGGCAAGTTTCCAGCAGGTCTGTGTTGAGCAACATCACATGATATTTGAAGAAAGGAACACGTTATTGTCAGACAGTTAGGTCATGGTTCAGTTCAGAGACAGTGTATAAATCCACATATCCAATACATGCCATGTTTCATTTTTAACTGGAATACAATAAAGAATAAAGAACAATGGAAACTGAATCTTAGCAAACCATCATCCCCCTCAAAAAGAATCTGATACAATATGCCTGAAACTACCATTAGAACAAACAAAAGAGGGACCACTAATTGTATTTTGTTATAACTGTATCCATTAATTATTTCGACTAAAACATGGGGTAGCCTAGTGGTCAAAGCATTCACTCATCACAGCAAAGACCCGGGTTCAAGCCCCCATATGGCTACAATGTGTGAAGCCCATTTCTGGTGTCCCCCGCCATATTCCTTCTGTAATCATGGTAATTACTAATCTGGAACGAAGGGGAGGAATCTGGGTGGAATGACATTTTTAATATGTATGAGGATGGACTGAAATTCTGTGGTCAGGAGACATTTGATCATTCATGCAAAGGTATTAGACTTTGTTGTTTTTAGAGATGCTGAAATTGTTAATATATAGAAGAACTACTATATTAGAGTAGGAGCGATGTTTTCATATAGGTTATAACAGTTATCAAGTGAGTGAGTGAGTTTAGTGTTGGGCCGCACTCAGCAATATTCCAGCTATATTGGGGGCGGTGGGGTAGCCTAATGGTTAAAGTGTTGGCTCGTCACGCCGAATCCCCACATGGGCACAATGTGTGAAGCCCATTTCTGGTGTCCCCTGCCGTGATGTAGCTGGAATATTGCTAAAAGCGGCGTAAAACCAAACTCAGTCAGTCCAGCTATATGGAGGCGGTCTGTAAATAATTGGGTCTGGACCACACAATCCAGTTATCAGCAGCATGAGCATCGATTTACACAACTGGGATACGGTGAAATGTCTCAACCCAGTCAGCAAGCCTGACTACCCAATCCTGTTAGCCGCCTCTTAAGACAAGCATGGGTTGCTGAAGACCAATTGTAACCGGGATCTTCATGATTAGTTATCCCACAAGTGGTGAAAAAGGAAGAAGTTGAATGTGAATGAAGATAGGACAACCAGACAGACAGACAACATCAGCTCTCTTGACTCAAAGTCTTTTAAGCTCAAAATAATTTTTCCAAGTAAAAGCAATAAACATCAGAAAACCGTGACAACTGATAAAGATTTTTATAAGCTGACTTACTCTGTGGATGCCTTGGACAGTATATCGATATATGTGATGACGAATTCCTTAAACTTCCTTTCTTGTTCTCCCCGAGTTGATCCAATACAGTAACCTGCACAAATAATTCATATAAACAGAAAAATAATGACGAAAATAATTTATTGCCATCAAAGTCTTCATAAGACAGATGCTTTAAATATTTTTATTAGTGGTTTGATAAGATTGTTGTTTAACTTTGAAAATGACGCTGGCTTGAGTGCTGATGAGGCAATTCCATGATATAACGCCTTCTATCAATAGTCGCATTGATATGCTTTGAATCCCCTGATCAATTTCTGCTGTGTCATGTTATATTGATTCCTGAATGAGAAATGAGGTCTGTTAAGTTGGTTCAGGTTACCATGTGTGGAACAGTGGGACAGCACGCAGGCAAAGAGATTATATTCTCCTCACAGCTGTAACCTGCTTTCCTAAGAACTAATCTCCTGATGGACAATATGAGAATGAGTGTCACCATGACTTTACTACTTATTTCATAGAAATAAATTTAGTCCATTTTTGAGAAATAACAAGGGGTTTGATTTCTAGGTTAAAGTATAGATTGAAGTAACTTTAATTTCATGTTTGGCACTCGAGAATGGTTCGATTTCTTACGTCAGTCACCTTCCAGCCATACTTTTTTAAAGAGGTTTCTTATGATTATGGAAATAATTTCTTCCCTTTTTTCTTGTACACGCAACAATGGCAATTAGATAAAAACAATATGATTTGGTTTTTTTTGTTTAACGCAGCACTCAGTATTCCAGCTATATGACGTCAGTCTGGACCAGACAATCTAGTGATCAACAGCATGAGCACCAATCTATGCAATTGGGATACGATGACACCGACCACCCGACCCCGTTAGTCGCATCTTACAACAAGCATGGGCTGCTGAAGATCAAGTCTAACCCGGATCTTCACGGGTCAATTTCCATTGAATAAATGAACAATAATTACCATCAAGTGGAGCTCCAAACACAACCTCTGTCCGTAACAGCTTGCTGTGGTGATAGGTACTGTTGATTTTCTCGTCCACATAATAATAAAACGTTTCCTGATTCATAGCTAATTTCAGCGCACTGTCGACTTGATCCAGGTTGTTACCCAGCCCATCATAATGAATATTGCCATGTTTGTCCTTCGTGGGGTAGAAGTACGTCAGCAACGAGTTGAGAGGGGCACAGTTACTCTGAGCCCACACAGCAGGATCAAGCTGACCAAGTTTGTAATCCTTAAAACAGAAATCCCTAAATTGAGGATGCGCTAAAACCAATTTTTCCACTTTGTGTACAGTCTCTATCCTCTCCTTGGTGAACATGTTATGATTGTCATCCCCCTGAGCTAGGAATATCACCTGCATCTTCCAACGAGGATACACCTGGGTTCCAAATATACAACCAGAATGGGCACTCCTTTTGACTCTTGACTTTTCATCAACTTCATTTACCATTTTGGCGGCAATGGTATCGACTTCGTTTATTAGTTCTTCAAATGGTTTGTACTGTAACGTTTCTTCAGGTTCGAAACTCTTGAAGTTCAAGTTTGTATCTCCTGTGTCAATATTATGTCTCTCAAGAGCACCAGATAACACGCTGGACGTATCTCTACGTGAACGTCTTGGTATCGACACATTATGCTTCAAGGCAAGGGCGAAGGAATTATATCGCATATATGCAATGTGATTGGGAATGTTGAAAGCCTCTATAGATATGTCAATGACTGGCAATGGAATCATACTGGTAATTCCAATTCCAAGACAAATTCCAGTCGTGGCCACCAGCAAAATCACTGACACAATAACGCCACAAATCCTGGTGTTGAATTTCTGTTTAAATCCAGCCGCACACCGACACATCATACTGAAATGGCAGCAGAGTTTGGATCGCCAGCCTTGAGAGTCAGAGGTAGTATCTGTGTCGTTTTCGGCAATGAATCGCGCCAGTTCGTCCAGACCCATTTCATTGTCCTCGTCATCCGATGTCAAAGCTGCCCATCCTTCACTACGATCATGACTCCACATGCTAGGCATTGTGGGAATCTGAAAAAATAAACAAAATATTTGAGCGATCCTCACGTGTCATAACAATAACAATATCATAACATCAGCTGAACAGGTTGGTGCTCACTGGTATAGCTGGGTACAGTGTGTGGTGTACATTTCTGGTGTCTCTGCTCCGATATTGCTGCAGTAGTGAGTGAGTGAGTTTAGTTTTACGCCACACTCAGCAATATTCCAGCTATGTGGCAGCAATCTGTAAATAATCGAGTCTGGACCAGACAATGCAGTGATCAACAGCATGAGCATCGATCTACACAATTGGGACACGATGACATGTGTCAACCAAGTCAGCAAGTCTGACCACCCGATCCCGTTATCCGCCTCTTACGACAAGCATGGGTTGCTGAAGATCAGTTCTTACCAGATCTTCACGGGTGAAAACATACATGAACAAAAAGAATTTACAATTTCCAGAGTATTCAGCATATACTTTCATTTCAAATGTTGGGTAAATATTGAACAATGTCTTTGGAAAAAAATACAAATCATTATCTTTTCAAAGTCCACCAAATTCTCACCTAAGTAAGTCCTCCCAAAGAAAGTCCTTAATCTTTCAGAAGTGAGAGATGTGTAAACACCTTAATCGCATGTGATAATATACAATACACCACAGCTAATCACTTTCCAACGCCGTAATTCCCACGCTAATGACAGCAGTAATACATCCTGGGGAAGGAATGATGGCATGCTACGTAAGAGCTTCACTACAAAGGATATCTCATGTTCCACGGCGACCTTATTCGCCAGTCACAAAGCCTGTTTCATCATAGGCAATAGTGACACTTCACAGGAGATGTCATTTCCTACCGGTCAGTGACCCAACTAAGTACAATAAACAATGACTGCAGACAGGAGGCGCAACCAGTACATTGTTCCTTCATCTTCCTGATCAGCTTTTTCAGGACAATGAAACATTGATTCTGCCTTAGTCATCAATAATTAAATCTAATTCCTTTACAGTCTGCCTGCTGATGTGATTTTGATAGAATCAATGAACACTATCGATAACAGACTTAATTCAAGGTCAGTCGTTGACTGGAAGTTGCAGTAACTTATTCAAATTGTTTGACTGCACTGAGAACTTGCCTGTCGGTATGATGTCTAGTCTAGAGCAGACAGTGTTGTTGGGGAACAAAGCCTGATCATTTAATTCCCATGCAGAGTTGTCTAACTTAGCTGCGTCAGGATATGCTGACATGGTTTGGATATTACAGAAGATAACTCAGAAGATGACCAATAATGCAATTTACTCAGTAAAAGAGTCAAGCAAAAGATTATCAGTGGATTGTTTGTTTTCAGCCATCATACAGTCATGTTTATCATTTCTCACACAAGGAGGGTGGCGACGCACAGACCTTGTAATAACCACCATCGTGTCTTGTTTTTAACCGAAAAAATTATCATTTATGGGTGAGGGGTGGTGGGGTAGTCGAGTGGTTAAAGCGTTCGCTTGTCACGCCAAAGCCTCGGTTTCGATTCCCCACATGGGTAAAATGTGTGAAGCCCATTTCTGGTGTCCCCCGCCGTGATATTGCTGGAATATTGCTGAAGTGGCGTAAAACCATACTCACTTACTTAAGGGTGAGTGAGGTGTTCTACATTAGCGGGAAAACAACAAATGCAACGTACCAATTTAACCACTGAGTTGAAGGGTAGGTGGTAGCATAGTGCTTAAAGTGTTCCCTCGTCACCACGAGTGCCCAGGTCCAATTCCCCCCATGGGGACAGTATGTGATACCCATTTCCAGTGTCCCCATGTGGTATTGCTGGAATATTGCTAAAAGCGGCCTAAAAAACAAATCACTCCCTCACTGAATGATAGAACAGAACGCAAGTTCGAATCCTACATTCATCGTTATAATTATTCTGGGTGTGTTCGTCAAACTGATTCAGTTAAGAATAAAGCAAAGAATTAACTAAACTCGTTGAGTCGGAAAAACCAGCAGGTGAGTCCTACCTACATCCCAATATGTCCCTTGGTAAATTAGCATCACATTTCAGTTTGAAACACTTTTTACTATGACCTGAATACTTTTTCCAACACGGAAATCCTATATTTTGATGCAGGAAATTAAACTAATTAAACCAACTCAGCTAGAAATATCATGACCAACAGAAGCTCTGTACAATAGCGGCCATGTAAACACAACACCAGCTACCTGTATCAGGTTAAACATCACTCTGTGTAGTATTACCTGGGACGTTACTTCTTTACAACTAGTTATACATGCCAATTAACCAAATCCAGGAAATAGATACACATGGCAGGAGACAAAGTGGCTCAGTCTTTCATCATCAAGTATTTTTTTAAATATTTTTTTTTTAAAGTATTTTTATTTCCCATCAGTATGTTGTACATCGTATTTCAGAATCAAATGCAATTTTTACATGTTATAAAATACAGTTTTTGCGTTACACACCACTTTCAAGCGTTATACATATCACATTTTCAGTATTTGATTTCTGCTATTTTCAATTTTCATCAGCAAGTATATTGTTGCGTAATTCCCCTTCGTATTTTTTCATAACACTCCAGCTTATAAAGCATAGGAAGAGTGAGTGAGTGAGTGCTGATTTATGTTGCTTTTAGCAATATTCTAGCAATATCACGGCAGGGGACACCAGAAATAGGCTTCAAACATTGTACCCATGTGGGGAATCAAACCCAGGTCATCGGTGTGATGAGCGAACGCTTTAACCACTAGGCTGCCCCAGGAACTTTTGACAAGTGGGCACGTGGAATCCTAAAGTTCACGACTTTGAAACTAGTAGATCCTAGAAGCAATGGGACATAATTCTGCACAGCAAATTAAAAGTTAGCAAAAAAAATAACCATACTCACATTTCCCACATTCCAAATAAATACGTATCATTACGTAAAAATATTATAAAAAGAAAAAAGGAATATAGCTTTTTTTTAGCTATTCCCTTACTTATTGCCATGAGTATACATGACACATGGCAGGTAGTCTCATGGTTATATTGTTAATACCTAGACTAAGGCTTAGTCTCTGAATATATATAATTTTGATAGTAACAAACAAGCCCATTTATATTGAAAAGGAGCCCTAGGGAGACCAGAGATTCAGAACCTGAGGAAATCTAGACTTGCTTTATTTACGGCTTTAGCACTGCAGAGAGGGCTTGGCAGTGGGGAAATTAATGTGGTTCAGGGACTGTGAGACAGACTATGTTAATACCCAACATGGGTACATTATCTGGCACCTGTTTTGCCCTGTTATCAGATTGCAGAACTATTGCTAAAAGCTGTGTAAACCCTCAATGATTCACTCACACACATACACACCTTCCCAACCACCCCAAAACAACTATATTTCACTTTCATTGTATAATAGAGTGAATGTAAATTTAGTGATTAGTAAAACTAAACTCACTCACTGTGTGGCGTAAAACAACAAACCAAAACCAAACCACTCATATAAAACAGAAATAAAAGTTATACTTCTAGATTTTACACACCAGTACAAGGAGAAATTTGAATGAATTTGTTCCCAAATTCAGCTGATGTAACAAAACCTCACCTTGGCTTTACTAGACTGAGAGTCGTGAGATAGATGTTTGCTCATGCTACAAGATCCATTGCTCAATTCAACACCCTGCTGAGACAACTGTGTACATAACCCTACAAACATACCACAGTCGTGTCCGTGAATGAAATACGCATTATGACGCATTATACGCATTATGACGCATTATACGCACAATAAATCTGCAAATCATCATCATCCCTACTACATCTGTATTCGTCGCAACAGATGCTGAAACCACTGTAGGCATTTAGAGTAGCCATGCTACAACCATGCAATTTTTAATTACTTTATCAAGAACGTTTTCAACGATAACCCAGCACTACCAATGATCGAAACAATGTGTTAAAATTCAGTGTGTTATAGTTAAGGCGTAACGTTTCCTTGAAGGTGTAACTAACACAGATTGATCTAAACTGGAATCAATCATTATCGTTTCATTTCATTAATACAGATGCTTAAACCACTGTAGGCATGTCAAATAGCCATAATACAACCACATTTTTTAATTACTTCATCAAGAACGATTCCAACGACAAGTGGATACCAGGACGACCAATGATTGAAACATATACTAAGGCTCCAGATAAGGGCCGTATCGACGTATGTACGGATACAAAATATGCACGATTCAGGAGGAAATAAATTAGAAAACGTAGCAGATACGCACCACAGCAATGGTGTACAATCTTAGAATCATTTACAGTCGTACTTATCTGAAAAAGTATTGTTTTATTGTTTATTGACCTGTTTACACAAGAGTAGCAATGTTGTGGTGCATATATGAAACGAAACACAAGATTACTGATACTCCATTAAATTCCATTCAGCACTCTAAATGTATTCTTAAGTTTTTCCAGTACTCCTATATTGAAAAAAAATAGGGAGTACGTACTCCTGATGTTGAAAAATTACACTACATTCAATGTAACCTGCTGGGACTGTGTGCTATTATCAGGACAGACGAGTTGATATGCGGGTATGAACAGGGTGGCTGCAGACAGGTGCAGGAAGTAGGTCACTCTTGGGAGAAATCTTCATATTCAAGAAATAGAATCAACAACGAAGAAGGAACATATTAGATAGTTGATATATATATATTTATCGATAATTTTGCATGATGACGAGTGGTTGTGTCAGTTTTACGTATTTATACGAAAGTTCAGGAAAGCTAATGAATTCTCTGCTCCAAATCATCATCATCATCATCATCATCATCATCATCATCATACATATATTTGTATAGCGCCAATATCCAGGTCAGCTGCTCAAAGGCATTTTGTTTTCTCCTGAATCATAAATAACTATATTGTGACGTCATCATAATGTTTAAATCCTGTTTTAGCTAAAATAGCATTGAAAATGCTCACGTACAGATCTTAACATGGACATTGTAATAAAATTGGTAATTTTTAATCAGTATTATAACAA